ATTTAACACTTTCTTATTTTTCCCCCCAAATCAAATGGGAAGGGTTTTTCCAAACGGAGGGAGTAGATTAAGTACTAAAATACGAGTTCTATATTTTTATCTCCAAAAAAAGAAGTTTATAATACGATAATATGAAATTGTGTATATGAATATTTCACAATACTTTTTGACATGATTAAAAATGTATCAACATTTTAACTCATATTTTAAAAATTTAAAAATAAAACTCGATATATTTTTATGTGTTATTATAATTTTAGTCTTTTCCAAATTGATATGACAATGCATATTGCCAAATTGTGTACATGAATATTTTCACAATGCATGGTTTTTTTCTTCGAAGCTGATTGGGGAAAAGTGCGGCTATTTTCACGGTAGGTTGAGCAAAGTTTTCTGCGCCCTAAGTTTTTGTGCGGCTAATGAAAACCATGCATCACACTATTGGAGATTTAATTTACGAATTATACGAAATGGTACTCCGTAATTAAAACAACAAAAAAAATGAAGGATGATAACAGCGGTGCGCCACCCGCCGCCAACGCCGCCGCCGGAGCCGGTGGCGGAGCCGGTGATCGTAATAAGCCAAAACTACGTGGCGCCGTACATGATAGATCTGAACGTGAAGAGGAAGACGTTGAGCAGCTTGATGGAAAGCACGATCTCCGTCAACGACATCAACGGCGACCAATGGTTCAAGGTCATTAGAGGCCAAATGTGGAAGATTCATGAACGCCGTCTTCTCCTTGACGTCGCCCACAACCCCCTCCTCACTTTCCAACACAAGGTCCTTTTTTTCTTCTCCCCCCGCCTCCCGCATACATATATACTCGGTCCCTCCCCAATTTGATTCCAAATTGGGGTTTACGAGGAGAATTATATCACATTTTGAATTCATTTTGTTTACAAATCGATATATCGATAAGAAATAAAAATTACATATTCTCTTCGTCACATAAAAAAAGTTACATTTCATTTTTTTGCGCATCCCAAAAACACGTCTACTCACATCTAAAATACTTAAAAATTACCACATTTACTCTTTAAGTCTTTATTGTGGGCATGAGTCGTTTTGAAAGTTTTTTTGGCGTTCGAGACGATATAAAAGTGTTTTCTGGGATGCGCAAAAAATGAAACGTAACCTTTTTTGGGACGGAAGGAGTATTAAAAAAACTACGTCAAAAGTTCTACAAAACAAGAGGTGATAAGAATATTTTATTTTATCAAATACTTAATGAAATCGCGTAAATAAACAAAAATTATCGAGAGGAGAGAAAAACACTTCTTATTTCTATTAAAAAGTCACTTTTATCTCTTACTTTTTTATACCCTATATATCACATCATACCTTTTTACTAATAATCTACCAATCAAATCTTACTTTTACCTATCACATTAATAGACTTTATTGGAAATTCAATACCAAAATATACCCCTCTTAAATCTCTTAAATTTCAATAATTCCTATGTTTTTAGGACGGGAGGGAGTATTACAAAACGGACTTATCAGATTACTTGACCAAAGAGAGATATTAGAGAGTGAAAGTGACCGTTGAAGGGACGAATAAAGTCCTAATTTTCTTCTTTGAACAAGTTTTTATGTTTCTTTTAAATTAGACTATGTTTGAAAATTATAATTTTGGTTACTTTTAAAATTTTAGATTTTCAATAATGGGTCAAATTCAAAAAGTTTTTGAGACTCTTTAGATATATACATTTGAAAATTACTACAAAACAAATGGCAGCATTGTATCATTTTGACAAATGATAGATAAATATATATAAATGTGACCTTAATTTCTATAATTAATACATGCTGAACCGGTGATATTGTAATTAAAAGTACTAATAAATGCAATGAAAGTGTTCAGCTACTAACAGCACGCAGAAGATGGGTAGCGTATAGAGGAGACAGCATAGATCCAAAAGATGTACTGTTCACCGTTAGACAATCGTCACTGATTCAAGTAACTGCCAGTTCCAAGACCAAGCTTGCCGTGTTCATGGCAGGAAACATGGAAGACGGCGTTTGTGATTTCTACGTTAAAGGCAGTGACTCTGAAACATCTTGTGACATTTTCATCGGAGGGACCAAGACTATGATTGCTCAGGTATAAAAAAAAATTGGTTAGGTTCATCTTGTGCCACTGACCCTCTACGGTACTCCGTTCATAAAATTGATGATTCTTACTCCTCTAAACCCCTTGGTAAACCTCCCTCTTCCCCCTCTAGTCACGACCTCAACTCATCCCTCACTTATGTCAATTGCACCCCATAAGTATAATTGAATTTAAAGTCTAAATTTTTGATTTCAAAGTCAATTAAAATTACGGGGTACAATTGATGTGGGTGGAGATCAGTTAGGGTCAAGACTGGGCGAAAGGTAAGGCAGGGTAGGAATTATCAATTTTACGAACGGAGCATCGTAAGTGTCCGTCGGGGGGCAGTGGATCCATAGCCACTGGAATCCTGTGGCCACAGAACCGGGCCGGAAAAAATACTCCTACTATTGAATTTTAATGGTTTCTTTAGGTAACAAATTCCTGATTCTCAACAAATTCTAATTAATTGTCCCATTGGCTATGCTATATATATGCAGATGCATCGAAGTCAAAGTTTCTTTAGTGGGTATCTTGGGAAGGATAACTTCACCATGTCTATTCGCCCCAATGTTGATTATGCCTTCATTGTTTCACTTGTGATTCTTGAAGAAATCAATGCTGAGAGGAAATTCCAAGAACTTATGATGAAATCTGTCATGCTCAAATAATTGTTGCATCTTTGTAATTGATACTCGGTACTCCCTAGAGTTTGCTTATTAGCTAGCTTGAAATTTTAAATGAAATTTTATATATAAACTTTGACCATAAATAATAGAAGTTGTGTATTGAGTTCTAACATAAGTTTAGTATCATTATGTATAATTTAGAATGCAATTTTTAAAAGTATAGTTTTATATCATGAGTAAATCCCATAAAAAATCTCTAGTTATAGTTCATTTTACATATTTAGTTCATACATATCAAATATCAATAATTTAGTCGGTCCCTAATTATTATATTATTTTCCATGAATGGTTCTTTGTTAACATTTTCGTTAAAAACGTGGAACGATTTGTAAATTCACGCTCCTCACTCTCCTCAATTAAGCTTCCACTCTCCTCTCGCACTCCTTTCCCAAATCCGTCGCTGAGTTTGAAGCTTTGAAAACCGAAAGCATCCCTCCCCTCTCAATTGTTTGTCATCCTGGTGGAATCCAAACTCGAAACCAATAACTTTCATGGATGCATGAGTTTTACAATTTGTTTTCCTTACAATTTCTTCAGACCAACCCATAAAATTCATCCATGAAGGTTATTGGTTTCGATTTTGGGTTCCACCAGGAAGATGAACAATTGAGAGAGGAGTGATCGTTTTAGTTTTGGGTTTAGAGCTTCAAACTCAGCGACGAGTTTGGGAATGAGTACGAGAGCTTATGAAACACATAGCTCAGGGAAGGTCTTTGGAAAATATGATATTAGTTGTATTTTCAAATATAGTTCCGCAAAGAAAAGTAACAATCTTCTAAGTTATAGACTAGATTTTTAATAATTTAGAACATTAGATAGTAAAACAAACCCAAATACTCAACAAAGCTAATATTTCTAATCATAATCGTTTTAGAATAATTATTAATAGGTCGGATGACTGGTGAGAAGGATCTCCACATGCATCCGACATGATCCATCCATCACCCGTCTAACATTTTTTCCTTTTTGAGTTTTCATCCATTACATCGAATCATATTATTCGGATGTCCAATGGGTCGTGTAGAAATTTCCACCCCTAGTGGCGATGAGACTGCTTTTGTGTTCACAAATCCTAAAGGGGACTTGGTTTATGATAATTCCATTGTTTTCTATTGCTATTCTAAGTAGAATAGCTTGGAAAAGTTTTACTTAACACGATACTTTGGTGACTCAAATCATTAAAGCAAGATATTTTTCTAAGCCCATCACCAACCATATATGTCAAACTTAAACTCAAAATTCAATAAATTTCAGTTCAAATAGTCATTTATCTCCAACCATTACCCCAGACACTCACTTCGATTGTGATTCCTTTTCCAACATCCGTCTAACATTCTTTCCTTTTCGGGTTTTCATCCATCACATTTTAGATATCCAATGGGCCGAGTAGAAATTTCCACCCCTAGTGGTTTTGTGCTCACAAATCCTAAAGGAGACTTGGTTTCTGATAATTTCCTTTTTTTTCTATTGCTATTCTAAGTAAAATAGTTTAGAAAATACGGTGCTTTGGTGACTTCAATCATTAAAGCAAGATATTTTCTAAGACCATCCCCAATTATTTATGTCAAACTTAAACTCAAAATACAATACGTTTCAATTCAAATAGTATTTCATCTCCAACCATTACCCCAGACACTCACTATCGTGATTCATTTTCCTTTTATTAGCATCTAAACGATAATGAGTCCTATGTCAAATCTACCTCGCTCCAAGCTTCGGTGAGGCACAACCAACAATGCTCAGGCTTTTGCCTCTAGTACAAAGCCTTATTTGATGTGGAATTCGATCAATTTGGTCCCAAAAAAGATTTTTATTTTGAACAATATATAAAATTTTATCTATTTTAAAATAATTTTATTTACAGATTGGTTTAAAATAAAAAATATAAGTTATTAATTTAAAAGCTAGATCAAAAGTTCTAAAAATACAAGTAATAAAAAAGTATTTTATTTTATCAAATAACTAATGAAGAAACCTACGCAAACTAAAATTATCGAAAGCCTAAACAGTAAAATAAAAAAGCTTTTTAGTACGGCTCGTTTCAATTTCACTAAATAAATGAATGAATGCTTCTCTCTTTCAGTCTTTCTAAAATAATCTTCATCACGGTCATTGTAGTGATTAATAAATAATCCAATGGTAGGCAATAAAAGAAAATTCCAATACAAGAATACGACCTACTAGGCATAACTTACAAACAAGAAATACAAAAGGTTACGAAATTTCCAATGAAAGAATAAATAAGAAAAACAAAGTCCAAAAAGCAAAGTGCCTAAAGTTGTGTACAGCAGGGGAAAAGAGAAAGAACACAGAAAGCTCCCATAACCAAACAAGGAAAACCAGGGGAAAACTTTCTTGGGGGAAAATGATCCTCCAAAATTCCCGATGAAATAACAATCAAGAAGATCAAGAATCACAAAACCCAGTATTATAACTGAGATTTTTCCAGACACAGACAAAGAAATCCAAGTATTGGGAAGATGATATCATCCTTTGCGTCACAGTCTTCTTCTTCTTCTTCTTCGCCTTCTCCGGCGTCATCAGTTGCGGTTCGAGTGGAGAAGGCCACAAGCGAGCTCCTGATGGGCCCCGATTGGACTCTGAATATTGATATCTGTGATACCATCAATTCCAACCATTGGTATTTTCCCTTTCTTTTTCTTTTCCCTACTCCTGCTCTAAAATTCATTGTTCTTTTATGGGTAAAAAGTTGACTTTTCTTGTTTCCCTTTGGTTTTGAACTGTTGGTTCTACCGATATAAGAGTAATTAATTATGTACGGAGTATTTTTAAGTCTTTAAGTAAATAGTACTGGATTCCATAGTTGATCTTTGGATGAACTGTTCTCTCATGTTGATGGGAGTAAAGGGTTTCTGTTCATATAGTCATTATTTCCATAATTTGTTTCGTAATTTGTTTTTTTTTTGGGTACGAGGAAACAAAAAAAAATTAGTCTTTGACAAACAAGATGCCTGAGTAGTCCTCTCCGCGAAGTGGGCGCCCTGGGATAATTTCTTTGAATTTGGTCTTATTATTATTTGAGGGATCTGTTTCTTTTTATTCAAAAAATAGAGAAGCAAATGATCATTGACTGTTGAATTTTATATGAATTCAGGGCTTATCAGTAACTAGTTGATTCACTTAATTGTTGTTGTAGTGTCTATGTTTTAATGTTTGTTCCTTTGTCGTGTGTTTGTATGTCACTCATAGTTCATGTAGCAATTTGTAATCTTTTACTTGCTGCAATATTCAGGTTAGCCAAAGATGTTGTGAAAACTTTGAAGAAAAGGTTGCAGCACAAGAGTCCTCAAGTGCAGTTACTTTCTTTGACGGTACTTAAATTGTTCTTATCAAGATTTATGGTTTTGGGTTTGATATATTTTTAGGGTATATCTTTAACACTATGTTTGGTTCAAGGAATTAGGAAGGAAAGAAAAAGAAAATGATTTCTTTCATTTTCTCACCAAAATGGAAGGAATCATGTTTTCCCTCTTCTTAGCTTATCTTTTTTTTCCTTCCACTTTTCTTAACCAAATATGAAAAATTGTTTTCCATATCATTTTCATTTCTTTTCCTTCTCAAATTCCTTGAACCAAACATAGTGTAAGGGTATTCAAATCTTACTGGCTTTTCTCTTTGACTTTTCCTGTTAGCTTCTGGAAACAGTGGTGAAAAACTGTGGTGATAACGTGCACTTTCAAATTGCAGAGAGAAATATACTGCAAGATATGGTCAAAATTGTAAAGAAGAAGGCAAGTTTCCTGTTGATAGTTAATGGGGTTTTAGTTTGTGTATCGAAGCAACTTTTATTTTTCATTAATCTGCTTTACTTTGCGGTCTGGTTTTTAGAAATATCTCTTGTTTCTTCGTAATCAATAGACACCGGCATGGCTTTCAACTTCTTAAAAATATCTCATGCAGCATTGTCCATTATTTTAGTAAACATTCTCTCTACCTCCGAGTGGGGGTAACTTTGCATACGCACGCGCACGTACACCCTCCCCAAACCCTACTTTTTGTTGGATTTTATTGGGTTCCTTGTTATTGTTGTAGCTTTGTCCATTATTTAGGGATATTGGTGGTTTGACGTGGGTGGGTTATATCTACCCTGATGCTTTAAATCTTCACTCTACCGTTTCCTCTTAAGCCAACCAATATCTCAGTTTTCCTTACTTGCAGACTGATATGCATGTGAGGGATAAAATCCTGGCTCTGCTAGACTCTTGGCAACAGGCATTTGGTGGCCCCGGAGGAAAATACACTCAATACTATTGGGCTTACGATGAACTGAGAGTGAGTGATTGGTGCTTGATTTCCCAGTAACAAAACTGCTGGGCACAAGTATGTTTTTGGATGATTGAATTTTGAAAAAGAGACAGTCAGACAGACAGACAGTTTGTGTGTAGTTTTTGTTTGTTCGTGTTGCATCTAGTTACAGTTCTTGTAGTGTTTTCTTTCTAAGAATGGACCAACAGTATCCATATGCACGTGTGAGATATCATCAGGAAACATAAGAGTAATGAGGTGAAATGGATTATTAATAGTTATAATCAGTTAGCAAATGTCTATAGGTAATGCAAGTTAAAAAGTGTGGGAAGGAAAAAAAAATGCATCATCTGGAAAGTGATTATCATCTGAAATTTGTCGCAGCGTTATGGTGTACAATTTCCCCAGCGTGCTAATGATGCGGCTCCAATTTTCACTCCACCTAGACAGCATCAACCAGGTTATGGAATGCCAAGCAATTCTTCAAGAAGACTTGATGAAGCCATGGCTGCTGAGATGGAAGACTTAAGGTTAGATCTTATTTGGGTTTTATGTGTATCTTGTGATCCAAATATTTTCTTCAGTGCTTCTGTTTTTTTACTGGCAGTTTGTCGACCATTAGTTCAATGGGAGATGTTCTTCATCTCTTAGCTGACATGCTGCAAGCTGTGAATCCCAACGATCATACAGTACGTGCACCCTCTTTTTTTGTATCTAATGTCGCACGAAGTAGTTATTTCCACATAGGATGTGTTTGGATTGAACTGGAGGGAGATTGGTAAAGTAGATGGAAAGGAAATGGCCATATTTCATTTGGATTAGATAAGTTTACTGAAGGAGAGGGATGGAGGGGATTATAAAGGATGATGATGTTCTCTTGTTTGGATTAGAGGAAATGAAGGGAAACTGTACTATATAATTTTACAAAAGATTATGATTCTGAGGGAGAACAATTTGGATGGAAGACAATCTGCCTTTTAGCATCCACTTCCATATACTCCCTAGCCAAACAAAAGAAGAGATGAATGTTCTCCCTCCATATTCCCTATAATCCAAACAAACCCTTGGGCTCTGTTTGGATTGAGTTTTAGGAGGAGTAAGATGATGTACACTAACAAAGTACTGTAAGTTTTTTCATCCTAAAGGTCCTGGCTTCTTCATCCATTTCTTTTTGTAGGGTGTGAAAGATGAAGTTATAGTTGATCTTGTAGACCGTTGCCGTGCCAATCAAAAGAAACTTATGCAGATGTTAGCCACGACCCGGTAACTTCTCTCTTTCTCGTAATAATTTATGTTATCATATAGTAAGTATACTAGTAGCTATAGTTATTAAAACAAAGCTGTAACAAATTATTTCAGGGATGAAAAGCTTCTAGCAGAGGGTCTTGAATTGAACGATAGTCTGCAAAGTGTGCTTGCGAAACACGATGCCATCGCTTCTGGTGCCGTATTTCCAAACTCAGTCCCTGCCATTGATGAGCGATCATCTGAGACGCGGGACCCTGCCCTAAATATAGCTGAAGAAGGGCCTAATGATACAGCAGCAGGGGATGCCAACCCTCCAAAACCCATAGTAGATGAAGAAGAGGAAGATGAAGATGACGACTTTGCTCCGTTGGCTAGAAGGTATGGCACTCTTTTATTGAATAGAGGGTTCTTCTGAGTGGGGGTATAAATTCATCTTTCTTAGCAACATTTTTTACTATAATGGTGAAAATGAGTGCAGGCATTCCAAAATGCAGCCTCAGATGAAGAAGGATGGGGGTTGTTCAGACAGTTCCTTCTCTGGTTCGGCGGCCATGAACAGTGCCTTGGTTCCTTGTGACCCACCAGCGCCAATCAAGACCCAAGGCGAGGATATGATTCAAGAGCTCTTGGGGGGATTAACATTGGCGACAACTGTGTCTTTTCTGCCGCCTCATACCCCAACACAAGACCACACAAACCAGACGCCGCCGACGCCGCCTCTTTCTCCTCCTCCCATTACCACCACCAATCAACACGGCCACCACCAGACTTCTTTCAACAACTATGTAGCTCCCTGGGCTAGGGTGTCGCCCCCTCCGTCCGAACCTCATCCACCCCCACAAGTACAATCTCATCACTTCAACAATCTCCCACACTACCCCCCTCCGCCTTGGGCTGCAACACCCGGTTATTCCATCACCAATCCCCCAAACCATTCACCACCCGTCACTGCAAATGGTGGAAGCAATCCATCTATGACTGGAACTGGTGCAAGGACCAGTGCTGGACCTGGCATATCATCATCAATCCCCACTGCAGCTAATGCACACAGAACATTTGTTCCATCATATAGGTTGTTTGAAGATCTCAATGTTTTTGGTAATGAAGACGGGAAACTGAAGACGACAGCCAACGCATCTGGAGGCATGTCTGGAAAGCAAACATAGTTCAATTCCTTGGGAAAACATTGGTTTGATTTTTGGAGTCTCTTGTGATTATGATTCCCAATATCTGCAGTGTTATGGTTTTTCGTTTGAGTGCATAAAAATGGTCTGTCAATAGAAGATTTTCACACTGTAAACTAATTGCGTGCAAATATCAGTGCTACATCTTAAATCAAATGTTCAAGTTTTAAAATCAGTGGCATGCAGAAACAGCAGGGAAGTGATCCATTTCGGAGAAGTAAATGCAGGAGGAAAAAAAATTACAAGTTTCTTTGGGGAATGGAATTGAATTATATATATAGGTCCAGACCAGTTTTGATCTATACAGATGAAAAGGGTTTAAATATTCAGAAGAAAAACAGCACTAAACCAACAAGAATTAAATAACAAACAAAAGAGAGATATTTACATCTTTCTTTACCTATGCATCAAATTATTATTAGATAAGCCTCCTGGATGACGAGCGTCAATTAACCCACCGAGCTTCACGTTCATGTAGGCACGTAGCGTGTGTCATGGAGGCTCAACGAATATGATAAACATACACAAATGGGGCAAGGGACCTAATCGTCACATAAATATATTCAAAGCACGTCCGACCTTGTGATGGTTTGTACTCATCTTGGAGGAGAAAGCTCATCGGCATAGAGAGAGACACAAGAATCTGCAGCACCGGCTGCAAGGAGGACTTGGTAAGGATGGAACGCAAGACACCTAACAGATCCAATCTTTTGTGCCATGAAGGTGGACAGATAGCGTATGGTGCCTAATTGCTCGCCCTCCAAGTTGAACACCTTGATGAGTTGCTTAGCTGAGCCGCTGGCTATGAGTGGAGCATGCCGATGAACAGCCAAAGCTGTCAGTGATCCCCGGTGGGCATCAATTGTTAGATATGCATCCTTCACGTTCCTCACATCAAGGAATTGAATATCACCAGCTTGAGACGCACTCACAATCTGGAACAGCAACAGCAAAAAATATGGCTGGTTTCATATCTTCCTATGCATTTCGCTTTTTATCGTTGTTATAAAATAGGAAAGACCAAAACAGATGGTGAGTATAGCTTTCACTTCTTTCACCTTGGCTGGTTGTAGTCCAGGCTGAAATCCAATTCCCACAACTCTTTCTACTCTCTGGGTGTGTGGTTGAGTTGTAGCAACAAGCCTACATAAATGCAAACTATCAGTTACAAACGACTCTCAGTAATGTAGTATACTTTCTCAAAAAACTACTACCTCCTACGTACGTAGTATTTTTTAAAGAAGCCATTTTTTACCATTGTACAGCTTTCGAAATTTGATACAGCAAACGTGTCAGAAATCATAAATTGTACTTGAATTTATAAAATGTAATTTTACAAGTCTTTGAAACACACCCTTGGACGGAAAGTTTATATTTATAACAATGTATGCATATAAGTTTGTGTATTATATGATCGATACATAGCAGATAGTAACTGCTATGGTTTAGAACAATTGACACCATTCATGTCCATAATCAATTGAAGTGTGGTGAAAATAGTCAGTTTACAGGAAAATGAAACTTTGAGACAAGTCGTAGAATAGTTCAACAAAAACAGCAGATCTGACATCTTAAGTATACTGCAGATTACGAAGAACACACAGGTTATATTATGAATTGAGAACATTTTAAATATACTAGAATGTGATTTAAACACAAAGAATTGCCTTACATGTCTGGCATTCTGATATCAAAGAGCCTAACAGATCCATCCACAAAACCAGCTGCAAATTGACCTCCATGAACCTGAGAGGCAGACTGCACAAGGCCAAAAGAACTTTGTCTTTAAAAGAAACTAGTTATCAATTTGAAACTATTCCATAAATGGTTAATGGATCATAATAAACCCAGGGAGAATAATGAAGTACTGACCAATGCAGAAATGCTGCAGTCTGAGGATGATGGAATGGTATGTACAAGCTGCTCTTTGTCTAAATCCCAAGCCATTATTGATGAAATTTCACCGGATGAAAACTGAGGCAAGCATAAGCAAGTTATATAATAAGAATATACAAGAGAACTGACAAGATGTCACATCTGAATGAAGAATAATTAATAAAATAGACATATGCAGGTAAAAGCATATGTTTACCCATGGTTAAGGAGATCATAGACACACACACACACACACATATATAGACACACACACACACATAGAGGGGGGATAATGTTACACTAATGGCAACACCAGTTCAATTGGGGCACCTACGATACTCCATTCGTAAAATTGATTGCCCCCGCCCCCAATCCCTTTTATCTTCATTCTTTCCCTTTTAGTACATCCCAAAATTCTTTATTGCTTCCTTTTGAAAGAAAAGATTATGATTCATATTATTTCGCTTTTGAATAAATCTCAAACACAATTTCCACTTTTTTTAAACGCATGCAAACTCAAATGAGATAAAAGGACAGTCGAAGTATGTAGAATCAGTCACACACACACACACACGACATCATAAATTTTCTATTACTCGAGTGAATGAAAGTGTACCAGGCAACCAGATTGCTGCTGCCAATCCACCACAGCATTCACACTACGCATACCCACTCTGTGACCCTGAATTGAAGAGAATGCAGTGACCAACTTTTGTCGGCCTCTTGATGCATAATCCTTCCAAATGCGAATGTTGCCATCACCTGCAAGAAATAACAGCAGTGTTGATCATTACAGTCTTTACATAAAATCTAGTTTTTTTAAAGGATGCCCTGTGGTTACTTGAAGCAACAAGAAGCAAACTCTCATCGAGCTCATTCACAAGGCACAACTTTGAGATTCCCCTGTCAGGGTAGCTGTGATTATCAAAGCTGTTAAGCAGGGTTGCCTCCTCGTAATTCCACACCCTAACAACCATAAACAAATTTATGGAACATTTAAGAATAGAAGATAAATCAAAAAAATTAAATGACAGTCATAATTTGTTCCACTTCCTTATCATTACAGCATTTTACAAATTTAATTTACACAAAAATCAATGATAGAGTTCAAAATAGACAAAAAGAAATCACCCTAAATAGGAGTAAAACATAGAAAAAGTATCAAAAAATAAGAGCTCCATGTTTTTATCCTCAAAATAGGAATTTGCATTGTGATAATATGACACTGCATATGGACATTTTACAATACTTTTTAGAATTATATATTGGCATTGTATATGCATTTTAACTCCTATTTTGGGAATAAAAACATGGAACTCTTATTTTGTAATATTTTCTATATTTTACTCCTACTTTAGTCTTTTTCCCATAGACAAATTCCTTACAATGAATCATTCATTACTTCACACAATAGTCAAACTTAAGAATGACTTCCATAAATCACATGAGTCAAGAAATGCAGCTACAGGGTGAGACCAATTCACAGAAGATGGCATATCATTTCTCCTTAAAGCATGAGAGTGATCAACTTTTGTCCTGCCAAGACATCAGTTCTCCTAAAATACTTGTTGAACTAGCGCTACTCTTGATCTCATTCTTAAGATCTTATCAATGAAAGAGTTTCATGTTTACATTCTACATTCTAGAAGTCCAACCCAGTTTTGGTTCAATTGTATTCTAACAGATACATACTAAAGGTAGGAAAATATGTTTCCTTACCGGATTCTTTCACTCTCATCTGAAGCAATTACAAATGGCGAGAATGGCTGCAAGATGGCAGTTTTTGTGCCAGTTTCAAATCTGGTGTCCCAGCTTGCAATTTGGTTATGGAGCTTGCTCACGGCTGACGACAGAAGAAAAACTTTAGAACATCCGAAGTCTACTTTCAGATCAATTATGAAAAAGCAACATAACTTCTGCAAAACCTTAACGTGAAAATGGCATATTGAAAAAAAACGGGAACTTAATAAGGCATACTAGAGTGTTGGCACTTTGTGATCAAGTCGAGGGCCATCTTCTCCCTCTCTTCTCTTCTACTGATTATCTCTTCACCGTCATCAGCTGCAGTAAGAAGTGGCTTTGAGAAGTGGCCACAGCTCCAATTGTATATGGTAGATTGTGGAAGGAAACTGCGCTCAGACGTTCCAGAAGGTCCACCTGAGCCCAGAAGTGGGTCAGCCAACCCAGTGTCTGGAGAGGTCATCAAGTGTGGTCTGAACTCAAGTGAACAAACTCTTCGTAGTCCAGTCATGTAACTGGCACGAGGAGGGCTAACAGGAGGAGTTCTGAATGTTAAAGGCAGATGACCGGCTGCAGCAATCAAATGAAACCTCAAAATAAAGTGGCAAGCAAAGTTCCTTAATATTGACCAAAGAAATGCACATAAACTGAAACTGAAAAAAATTGCTAAATTAGTTTGAATGCCCAGGTTTGATACCTCCATTCATGTCGAACCATGAAGACGACCGAGCCAGTCCTGCAAAACTAGTGCTAGGAGCTGCAGAAAATTCACTGGTAGACTTGACAGATTTGGCAACCACTTGCTCAATACCGATTATGGACAGAACACGCCGACCAAGGCCAGCAATGCGTGGTGATGGATCCTTTGCCAGGGTACACATAACTAACACACACTGAGAATACAATGCATTATCTAGTGGTCTTGTATGGTCTAAAATGCCATTGCTAATGGCATCATTTAATAAGCCAGAATCAGAATGTTGAGATGAATCATCAGACAAGGGAGACCCATGCATAATACTTGGTGCAGCAAGGGGGCTGCTACTAGAGACTCTCCCATCCCGAATGGTAGATTGGTTTTCACCTCCAACTCTCAATAATGGAGCTCTCGGAGATGGAATGATACTTCCATGAGGCACATAATGTGTTGGAGTTGTATATCCACTGCCTGAACTCTTGACAGCAAAAGAAGGCAAACATGTAAGCACAGAATTGTTTTGAGGCTTCAAATATGAGGCTGCAACAGACTTCAGGTGCTTATTATGCCCAAATGCAAAGCGTGCCAAAGCTGCAATGATGTTAAAAAAACAAAATGAAATGTTAATTGCAGGTCAAATATGGACCAGTAAGCTTGGGTTCTTGACATCAAGTGCCCTACTGAACTCTGCAATTTCATAGAGAATTTCATTATTAGGCAAACAGTGACTGTTGGGGCAGGACAAAAAGCTATGAACCCTACTCACTTCCCAAAAAGACATAAATTATGTGTCCACAAAATGTTCTACGGTTTAAACTATTTACTTGACTATGAATGAATATAAGCTGCTTACTTTTGTGCATGTTATTGGAACTTTACAATACTTTTCATTGCCTGTCAATCTGTCAGAGGTCTCCACAGAAAGACGGAAACAGCTCTATACTCCCAGGGGTAGAGATAAGTCCTGAGTTCATCATATCCTCCCCGACTCTACTTCCAAGTAGAATATACTAGGTATGTTTCATTTGGTTTGCTTGATTGAGAAGGGTAAATAAATCAAAGGACACCTCGAGAGAAGAAAAGTATTTGACACTTTTTTATTTCTTCCATTAAATGTCATAACTGTATATTAAAAGCTTCACATTTTTCCTCTCCCTTACATTATGTTTGGTTCAAGGAATTTGAGAGGGAAAAGAAAAAAAGAGATTTGAAAGCAATTTTTCAAGTTTGGGGAGAAATCATTTTCTTTTCCTTTCCTTCAAAATATCCTTGAACCAAACATAGGGTAAGTTCTTTTTGCTTAGGGGAACAAGGCGTTTAAACCAAATAGACAAATCTGTTACATGAATACTAGAAAGAAAGTCAATATACTGCATACCTACGGCAACCTCAGCTCTAACCAATGGGCTTCCGTCAGAGACAGCACTCATAAGGCTCTTAAGAATACTAACTTCAGCCTTGACTTTTTCATCAATGTCACTATCTTCATCTCCGCCAACACTATCATTGGATGTGCCAAACCCAATGTCTAGCAAAGTGCCTAGTGCAAACACAACAGCACCTCGAACCTGATATTTAAAAAAACAAAAATCAAGTTTAGACTCTGCAGCGGAGATAAACAAAGGGAAAGCGATAGTATGCTAGAAACCTCAGGTTGGGGTGCCGAAAGTAAAGGTACAAATATCACAGGTGCATCTGACTGTATAGCAATCACTTGTGCCTCAGTGAAATCTTCCCATAGTTTTCCAAGACATAGGCACAACCACTGAAGGAAAAGAGGTTCAGTTTGTGCATCATTTGATGCTGATCCCTGAAGATGTCTTAAGCAGACATGTAAAAGGCCGGCTTCAATACAGGCTTCCTGACCCCGTCTGTGACCATCCACAATGACAGCTAAAACAAATGCAGCCATAGCCCGCTGTTCTGGATAGGCATCAATACTATCAAGAAATCTGGTGAAATATGTATGCCCGCCATCCTTTACAAGATCAACCTGGCAAGACTGTTAGCAGAATTATGCTGATAGTTAGTATTGTATCAAATAACCTCTCTTCTCCTTTTCATTCCACACAAGTATCAGGAGAAATGAAAAGACGGGCACGATATAAAGCAATGTCATGGAGGGTACTTCATGTGGAAAATAAGGAAGCGTTTGAAAGTAATTGCTTGACAAAAGTAGAAAGGAAATTTTGAAGTGTACCTTATCAAGTGCAAGAATCTTTGTCCATATAAAGACAAGAATTTGCCTAAGTTCAGGAGTGGTCGTTTGCAAAAGCTTCAAAACATATGGAAATATACCAACAGATAATGCCTAGAAGAAGAAGAAATGGTTGAGTAAACTACTGAATATTTGACTTGAAAAGCTTGAACAAGTTTTCACCAAAAAACACCAAGATCTACCAGATCAACAGCCCAAGGGCCCATGTCCAAAAATCTTCCAAGAAGCACCAAAGCACGAAACCGGTGGCATTGACTAAGTAACACCTTAAATGAAAAGGTAGAACCAGTTATATTGCACATCAATATTTTTTCGAGCTAAAGGTAACACAGAGCCAACATTAAATAAGTAAGAGAATAAGCACAAAAGACTCCAACTAAACTTCAATTATCGGGAGCAACAACAGCTGCATTAGTCTGACAACTAGGTATCTAAGCCCATAACATAACAATTAGTATACAATTTTCCCAACACAGATCAGATCACCAATCAGAATAGCACTAATTTTTTGCATTAGCACCACTATGCTACACTTCATGTTAAATGTTACAGAGATCCAAAAAAAAGTGTTCATACACTAGAAGAACAATTAGTGATTAAAAACATCACACAACTTCAGTGGATAGGAGAAAAAGAAGCATTAAACTTAAATACCAAAAAAACTTGCCAAGATTTATTAATAATAATTATTACGTTAGAGAACCACAGTGTGGCCCTTATTAATTAATACCAAGAAACTTTATACCTGAAGCACGATAGGCAACTGCTCAGGAGGTTTCTTGTGCTCGGATCCATGATCCAGCCAAACCTCAAAAGCTGTCAACTGCTCAGTGAAAAATGGACTAGGCTGCAAATTTTGAAGTGTAAAATATCAACCATGGGCAAGAAAGGTTACGATGAAATTCAACCACTTCATGAAAAACTTCAAAAATTGCATAAATCTAACCCGTGGGAAAAAATTGGATATATGTATTTACAACAGAAGAACAAACTGATAATTCTCACTTGAAACTCGGCATTGGGATCCTCAACTAATGCTGGAAGCTGAGAGAGGCAAATTTCAGCAGCCATGTCCCATGCATCCCTAAAGCGTGTAAACTTAAATAAGAATGATGTAAGGTTGAAATAGAACATATTCTAAGAGCCACATGCAGTTACCACATATGATGCTGATGAGTTGGTGGCAACAACGGGAATGAAATTGGTGAACAATTTGCAGAGCGCATAATTCTTTCAGCTAGTAAGAAATTTCGAAACAAACTCGCAACTAATAGATCTTGCCTGAACAATCTCTGAAACAGATCTATGGATTCAAAAAACATCCAAGGTTAGACAAGCACAACCATGCAAAATAAGATCTGCTGAAGCACATACTAATCCTGTTATTAATATTTTACTACCATGGGGAAGAACATTCCAAGCAATTGTGTCTGTAACTGCTGTAAATATCCAGTTCAGTTCCCCAAGAAGTGTTTTCCGGTCAGTCTGTCGACCGGGAATTCTATCTATGAGTGAATAATCAAGTGAGTCACGCAACAAAGATTGATTGCAAAACCTGTGAGAACCAACATTGAAAATTTTGAGAATGAAAGCAAACACACATCACTTGTCATCAAAGAAATGACATACTGCAGTAAGTCCGCAGCCAAATACTCAATAAAAACTCCAAAAAGGAAGAATTTAAACATCAAAACCAAGTTTCACAATTTCCATAAGCAGTTTAATATCATGTTTTGCAATTAGCAGTTATGGGAAACACCGGACAGCAGAACACAAATTAACATGCAGAAAACAAGTCTAAGTTTTATCATTCAGGATGACCTTCAACACAGACAAACAGCAAGATAGAATCTGAAATTTAAAAGCACACATACTCAAGGGCCTTATGCCCCATTGTTAATTTAACAGACTCTTGGTTAAACAATAAAACCTAAAAAATTTGGGGAAAAAAACAGTATCACTTAAATATCTACTTCCTCTGCCCACAAAGGTATAAGGTGAATGATTAATTAGGGGAATATACTTATGACTTTTTAGCCAAAATAAGAGCATTTAATACAACTACTGTACTCAAAATCTCTACTTCGATGACATTTGAAGTATGAGATTTAAATGTTGTTGAACTCATTAATCAGAGTTTTCTCTCAATATAATTAGTAGAATATGTTTTAGTGGACAGAGGGATTATAAAAAATTGAGAAACAATCTCATCATCTCTAGGCACAATAGTGCAAAAAAGAGGTATTCTTTTCAGCATTCTGCTTTTGTTTAAAATTGGTTGCCAGGCCGGCAATTGGGGGGGGGGGGCTAGGGTAGGGAGTAGGAACCATCAATTTTACGAATGACACACCATAGGCGCTGTGATTGGAGTTTTTGTTTATGGTTTGTTGTCAAAAGAACCGTGGTCCATTAAGTGATTGAGTAAACTGTGCAACCGAGAAAAAGAGGGATGGTTCTCCAAATACTTCGATGACAAAAGGTTGGTGTTCAATTTATCACATGTACTAATCAATGATGAGATTGAAGAGAATGAAAATTGGGAAGGGAAAAACTGGGATTAGGAGGAGAAGATACGACCTCATTACTTAGGGAGAAAGATTTTGAATGTAGAGAGAAGGTCCAATTTGATATCAAGGCCCATGTGTATTGTGAACTACTTCAAGATAGGAATTGAGATTATTTGTCAAATGTCGATTTAATAGCATATGCACTAACAAACAAAAACCCAGTTGAATCCCAGAAAAGTAGGGTCTGGGGAGGGTGTGTGTACGCAGACCCTACCCCTAGAAAGTAGAGAGGTTGTTTCCAAAGAAACCCCTGCTCAAGCACCACAGGTAATCACGCACGCACCCTGACCCCTATGTTTAAAGCGTAGAGCAGTTGTTTTCAGATGACCCATGAAGAGGGTTGATAGTTGCATTGATCAATTAATACTTCACTATTAAAAGAATTGCATCCAGTTTAAAGAGCCATTTTGCTTTATTCCATCTTATGCACTAATTAAACCATGTCAAAATCTAGTTCATACAAATTGTACTAAATGTGGTTCAAATATTCAATCCACCAAGGTTTGGTTCAATCTACAAACATCATCATTGTTTGGATGGTATTTGTATATTCAAATTTTTAGTATCCATTTCGGATGTATGTAACCAATGAGTTGTGACTTGAGAAGCAATGTTATCAAAACCGGACCGGGCCTGTCTGGTTCAATGCCATAACCCATTTCGCTTGAAACCTGGAGTAACCCATCCCGCCGACCCGCATGGCACAGGGCAGCCCAGAGGTCTGCGGGTTTAAGCCCAAAACATTTTTATGGTTTTCAATATGAGAAAAAAGAGAACACTAGGTTTCGAACCAACAACTTTCGTGGTTCCACAATAGCCCTTCAACCGCTGTAACGCCTTCAATTGTATGTTTCTTTTGTCGTGTACAACATTATATATCGTGTTTATGTCTCCTTATATTTTATAAGCTCAAAAGTCATCAGTTAAAATTCATGTTGCTAAAGTCATCCCTTCGTTTCTTCCGATCTTCTTCTCCTTCGTCCTCTCTTAGACTTCTTCCCGTCATCTTCTTCTCCCGTGCTTCCACAAAAAAGCTAGGCAACCAATCTAGCGTCCACAAAATCTCGCCTAGACGCCTAAGCGTTGCCTAGGCAACGCCTTGATAACTATGATAAATCACCAAAAAGCAATTTTACCCAAACCTGGCCAGCTTAATATATTTGTTAGGTCTACTAACAGACAACCAGTCCCACACACACAGGGGATGTAGGGTCAACAAGACTATCAATTAGTCTAGAAGGCATCAGTTTCAGTGAAGAGGAAAGCTTCCTTCTGCATAATAGATTATTATTATTATTAGCAGCCAAAAACTAAGAGCAGTGAGAACTGCATAGTGAAAACTTCATACCACATGAAAGTCAAGTTTAAATTCTGTGACTGCAGATAATAATAATCAATATGAAAACTGTAAAAACTGCCGGGCTTGGTTATCTGGATAATTAATAAAGGAGAATAAGAATGTCAAAAAATAATAGTTTGAAAATACTTGCCATCGCAGTGCCATTTTAATTGGTGTCGTGAGGCATGAAGTAAATACATCAGCAGGAAATTCAGCACTTTGAGGAAGAGTTTCATGTGCTTCACATGCAGCAAGCAAAATGCAATCCCTCGAACCCCCAGAAGAAGTAGAAGCATTCCAGTCCTGAAGCTGTATATGAAAAGCAACAATGTTAATTGTCAATTCCAGATCAGAAAACTGCTAGTTTGCACTTATTGAAAAATATTAGTCTCGTACCTCTATGAAGGCATTAACAATCATTCCAGCTGCGGAGCAATCAAAAACATATATAGATGGGGTTCTCAACCATGAATCCAGGTCACTGACCGGCAAAGGGATATATTGTGTATAGCTCTAAAAAACAGTCTAGATGAAATTAAGACAAAAACATATCATAGAACCTAAAAAGTTTTAGGTTAGAAACGAACCCTATTAAATAGCCATATTTCACCGTTTGCAGTTGGCTTCGGTACACCGTGTCCATTATAATGAAAAAGAACTCTTTCGGACTTGGCACTTTTACGACATGTTGTGCATAATTTTTTAACTTCATCAACGGTGGGATCCAGTGAGATTTTATAGCGGGCCTACAAATCAATATGTTTGTAAGTTACTTAATTTAAAAGTCATTACTCAAAGCTCATGTAACACAAGTACACAACTACGCCTTCTCATAATGTACTTTTCATGCAAAGACCATTCGTACCTTAGGCTGCCACCTCTCATATTGCTGGTTCAAAGTCCTCCCAATTGTTTCAAGTGCTTTCTGTGCGGCCATTGAAAATGGATCTGCAAAACGAACAAAAGAAATGACATCATATGAAAGAAATTTTGTCAGGCAGCTCTCAAGAGCAAATATAATGGAAAAGACGCATAAATGCAAAAATATTCCTCTTCCCTACAAACAGTTTACAAAAACACATTGATTTAGATTAATCAGTTTTCTAAGGTTAGATTGGATGGATCAAAAGTAATCATCCTTCAAAGAAATGGACATGCACTTAAAATAACAATTACAATGCAAAATAAATGAAGGCATGTGACTCTCCCTTTGATAGTTAGCATTATTACTCTAGTTATTACTTATTAAAAAGATAAATGTTCAACCCATCCAGTTCAGGATCCAAATAAAAAATGGTACTCGTAAAACCCAGACAATTAGATCAGAGCAGGAAACTGTCAGCAAGAGTATAAACCTTTAGTCAAACCACTAAAAGAAATAGATATTCAATTTACCAATCCAGCATTCCATGCGAGCACAAGGTGATATCTTGATTACATCAGGAGGATCAACACTAATGTTTAAGCACAACACAAGAGCAACACATCCCGTTTTCATCTGCGACAAAAACTGAGGTAAAACAGACTGCATTGTGTATAGCAGTATATGCAATAAAACTAATAATGACGACAACAATAATATTAATAATAAAGATAATAACAATAACAAAAATAATAATAATAACAACGGCGCCCTTCTTTTGACAATAGATTTTGTTGTCATAATATGACAACAATGGCTACGGTGCTCCATTCGAAAAATTGATGGTTCCTACCCCCTGCCCCCCTCCCCAAAACGTCGACGGTAGCCAATCTGCGTTTTGGTGAGGGGGAGTTTAGGGGGGTAGGAACCATCAATTTTTTGAATGGAGCACCGTAGAATGACCCCGAAGAATAACAGCTAAAAATATAGCAGTAGGCATTTACATAAAAAAATGGCTTGATCTGTCTACCAACGTGTTAAAAATATCACACCTATCTACCACAATGGAATGCAAAATACAATGTGTATTTTTTAAGCAAAGATTATCTCGACCTAATGGTATATCTTTCTCTCAATTGAGAACTCATTTCCATCTTCTTATTTATTTATTTTATTATTATTATTATTTTGTGTTTAACCATTGACAATCATCACACTGAAATAAATCATGTCATTTAAAAGTCTAAAAATATGATAATAAATCTAAGGCATTAGTTTTTTATGGGAACCAGGGGCATTACTTGTATCTAGCTTATTCCCCAAACTTGCATGCTTTAATACTTAACATCATGGATTGCAAACTTGCAGGTGGAAGACATCTATAACCACTATTCATGGAGCAGTGGTGAAAAAAGTATGAAACATAGTATCACATGGTCATTCATGCAAAGTACAAAGTAATAAGCATCGAACATTTAAAAGATTATCTGACAAAACATAGTTCTAGTTCATAAATCTAAATTCTACACTTTAAAGTAGTTAGAAATTAGAATGCTGCTAAATTAAGTTTATGGGTCTTGAAACACAGTTTTGGTTCGGAACAAGAACCAGCAATTCCAAAACCAGAATCGGATAGATAAATTGGAGAACTGGAACCGAAAATGGGGAGTAAGGTTCCTTTTCTTATATCTTTGGAACCAAAACTGCCAATTCCGGTTCTCGGTTCCATTCCAAATTGTTTGTTACGATGTATTTATAATTTAATAGGAAACAAGTTTTGTGAGAAGAATTGCATTTTCCGATAAATTCAATATCTAATTGCATTTGCTTATTAAGTATATTTATTTTTAAAAAAATAAACAGATCATAACCAGAACCGCCAGTGAAACCGTATCGGTCCAAAGAGGTTCCGGTTCCAATCCCTCAATTTTAGGAATCCGGAACCATCGATTCTAGAACCAGAACCACACCATGTCCACCGATACTAAGAGGGAAACATTGCACCGAATTGGGGCTCAATATGGAAACACCTTGTAAGCTTGGACGGGGTAAAATAGAATTTAGCTAGGCAGTAAAGAGAAAACAATAACTAGGCAGCAACAAGGCATGGATTTTATGAATAAAATTGAAAGACTTGGTGTTTATTTGAGTATCATACGTCTCTAATTTATCCTCTATAACTCTAGAAGTGTGACTCTTTCCTACCCATTGAAATTGATGTATTAGAAGTCTACATCAAAAGCTCTATAAAATAAGCTGTGACTTGACTATGTTATTTTAACAAAATGATTAACAAAAATAGGTAAAAAAAGAAGATATGGTTTGGTCTTTGAATAGTGAGCCATGCCATCCAATGAGGGATGGGGGAGCATTAAATAGAAAATATAAGAGGGATTAATGAAACTATTTACCATAGCAACATATGAAAAAGAACAAAAATAAGACTAATGACCAAAAATGAAATTTAATTAGGGACGTGGGGGGTAGGGTGTGTTAAACAGAAAATATAAGAGGGATTAATGAAGCTATTTACTACTTCGTATAGCAATATATGAAAAAGAACAAAAATTAGACTAATGACCAAGGATGAAATTCAAGTATAATTCAAAGTTTCAAATGTAGGTGTGTTTCTATTATTGCTATTACAATATTTACAGTCTCAAGAACTTGATGTATCACTTATTTCGCATATTTTAGTGCCTCTCATATGATGCAGATTTGCACAAGAAATTCCTGACAAGATAATATCATAGCCACGAAAAAGAAAAATACCTCTCAAAAGGTGGAAGGCACCCTTAATGGCGACCGCCACTCATTTTCTCTTTCTATTCCAAATTTGAACATGGCCTTTGTGGAGGAAATGGTGAATAAAGTTAGAAAGGGTTCAAAATTTTTTAGAATATTAATACTGAGAAATTCAAGCCACGGCAGTATGGTCTTGCATCCAAGTAGCGGTTTGGAGGAAAATTCTTAACCAAATTTCAAATGAATTTAATGCCCCTTGAAGTCAATAGGCACTCCACTAAAGTAGGAAGAGATCTAATATGCACACAATGGTAGGACCTAGTTTGACAGTATTTTGCTATTAGCCAATTAAGACGAAGAAAACCGCACAATTTACTTTGTGTGCATATGATGGTATCCCTAAGTTGAGTTTGAATACGGGTTAGGATATGTTGTTCAAACAGACAGAAATATGAAGGTAGACATTGCACAGGACACCTCAACGTTTATACCCTTTTTAGTAAATTTGACTGCTTTGCACTTCAGTTGGAAAGCAAGAAAACCATTCATTCACAATATGAAATCAATGTGAATCGACATAGAAATGTTTGGCAAGTCACAGAAAGTATATTCAATCGCAATATAGAAAGCAGTACTTAAGAATGTAATACGCAAAAGTAATAACTAATAAATGAAGATAATGAAACAACATATAGCAGGGAAATGTGGAATCTTTAGTTCTTACTCGATCCCTTGGACGCCATTTGGAAACCAGACCCCTTTCCAATTGTCCAGAAGGCACGCATTCTTCAAAGCCATCGTGCCGAAGCTCGCAGAACACTATAGTCTGTGGCAGATATGCCATGCTGGTTGTCGTCGTCATCGAAGTGGAGGCATTGTCAGCACTGCCCCCATAACTACTAGGAGCTGCCTCCAAAGAGTCCCTAATTCTATTCTGGTTGCTACTCCCGGTCTCCCTGTCCTCTTGATCGGTATAGTCCTCCAAGTGGCTTGAAACAACTGTGGCAGACGACTGCGAGAACCTGGATGCCATCAAATCCCCCAATGCCATTCAAAATCGAGCCAACAAATCCTACCGCCTCCTGACAACTCCAACTCAGCAATTAGCCCTGCCCTAATCGAACAAATTTTGGACTGCAGCTCATAACCCTAACCAGAAGCCTCGCCCGCTAGGTCCAAAATAATACAGAAACGATCAGCGATTAATTCCCCAGTGGGGCGTGAAGTGATGCAGGGAGTGAGATACAGGAGGGGTTTGGGACTAATCAAAGGAGCCAGCGGCAGCGGGAGGCGGAGAGGAGGAAGAGAGCGGAATCCAGTTCGTTAAACGGAATCGTAGGTTGTGAAGAAGCTGCGGCGGCGAATCCCTAGAAGGTGGAGATAGTAAAGCGATGAGAGTACAACTCTGCACTGCGGCTGCTAAAGGCGAGAGAGAGAGAGAGAATGGAAGGTTGAAATTCGACAATTTTGTGGAAGAAAAAAAATTCTGAAGCGAGAGGGAATGCGACTTGAGCTTAGTAGGAAGGGTAAAATTCAATTATGGAAGGTTGAATTTTTTTTTCTTCTTTTTATATGGTCTACTCTTTTACCTTATTTCCAACTTTGATTTTACCTTTGTATTTTGTTGGATGAAAATATTTCTGATGGTGTAAATTAACTAATCAGGTAAATAGTACTAAACTGGGTCTAAAATTGTTTATTAGATTCGAGAAAGTAAAAAGTAAAAACGCACAAAGTAACTAGGTGGAAACACTTGTAGCCCAGTTAACATTCGAATATAGTAGAGTGCACCGGAGCTTTTACACAAAAGTTTTAGTGAGAAGAAATCGTCTCCCTTCCTCTGAGGGTTACAACGATATTTATAGTAGTCTATGGGGACAAAACGTCGCACATCCACGTCAGGGCACGTTCTTGGGTGGTGCGAGTGATTTTCTCTGTCTTCTAGTGGCCTTGTCACCTAGTTAGGAAGGTGATTCCTTTGTCACTTAGCGTGTTGGACTGATTATTCGATATCTCCAATGATCTTCCGTTGAATTTGGCCGCTACAGTTGGATTCTTCCTTGCCGACACTTTTCAACCCTAGAAATCATACCGGGTGATTTCCAAGGGATGGGTTTATTGAAATTGGAGACGAATGAGGGAATAAAGTAGTTTGACCAGTAGACTATCCGAAGTGAACTGGTCAAATTTCTAGTCAACTGACCTTTTACTGTCGTTTTAGACCTCCCATCTGGCAAAATTGACCTTGGCCGGTTGGATATTTGAATTTCTTCTTTGACCGGTTCTGGGTGGAATACACCCATCAATTTTCGTAGAGTAATATTTTTCGTTGTTTGAAAGAAAGGGGTACATTATATTTATTGTTTGGAATGAAAGAAAATATTTTTAAAAAAAATTACTTTCTATTATTAATATTTGAAAACTAATACTCCCTACGTCAGGAAATGATATTCCCACATTGTACCTTTTTTTGTCCAGAAATGATATTCCCATTCTACTTTTACATCTCAACTCTTTCAAAAATAACCTCACTCAGATACTCCACATTCTTTCTCCCCACTTTTTTCCCATGTTCTCGTTTCTTCTTCTGCCACTTCATTTTCTTTTTCTTTTTGCTCATCTTCTTCTTTCTCTCTGCTAGATCCATCTTTCTTTCTCTCTCTCTCTCTCTTCCCCCACCCCCTTCTTCTCCTCATTTTTTCTCTTATTTCTTTTTTCTCCTTTTTTATCAAATCTAGCCATCATATACACCATCTTATTTTCTCTCAATTTCTCTTTTCACGCCGTCCCATTTTGTTATTTTTTTTACATTCTTCTCCATTTTCTGAGTCAGATCTGCGTGAAGCCTAGGCTACCCATGGATCAGAGAGCCTCTTCGAACCACGAAACAAACGGATCAAAGAAGGGGGTAGGCGTGTTTGATGTTGTGGCCGTGTAACTTCACTTCCTCATAGATCTACAGTCTCGGGAGGTTCTTTCCGTAAGGTAGGCAAGGGTTGTGATGTGTAACTAGTGATGGGGCCAGCGGAGATGATGGGGGTATGGGGTTGGCGGTGGGAGTTAGGGTTGCAATGGGATGTCTGGTGCGGTGGTAGCTTGAATCGTGGGGGCTGGGCAGTGGAGGGGCAGCGTACAAAGGGAGCAAGGGCATTTTAGTCTATTTAAGTCTTAAGTCAAGCCCTCTTAAAATGAGGAAAAGTCAAACTAGAAACATCATCCTAAGACGGAGGGAGTGTTTAAAAAGATGTTTTGAGACAATTAATTACTCATCCATCCTCCATCCTAAAATGTTTTACACTTTACACGGAACGAAGCAAAATTTTAAATTTTCTTAATTCATTTTATTTAAAGATTGATATAGAAATATAAAATAACATTTACATATTTAAAATCTATATCAAATGTTCTATGGAGTAGAAAACAAGAGGTAACAAAAATATTTTATCAAATTATCAATACTGAATACAAATGCATAAATAAACAAATTTTTTTGTGTTTTTTTAAATAGTGAATAGCGTAAGTTTTCGTACAAAGAAGTAATATTATAGTAGCACAGGGGGTGACAAAGGTTGGATGGGGGGCGGGGGTAGTTAGACGAAGTTCATGGATGGGTGCCGAGTGACGGGGGACGATGGATGGAGATAAGGGGAGAGGGTGGGATGGTTAGTAATGGTGGACGGGGCTTGGTTGGTGCGGACAAGAACGAGGATAAGAGGGCAAGGAGAGGGAGTGGCAGGGTGGGGATGTATTCTTGAAAATTACAGCGGGATAATAATAATAATAATCTGAACTTATATGTTTGGGTTTTACAACGGGGAATTAAAAAAATAAAATAAAGATTGCCGGTGGTTGAAAGTTGAATGAAAAGAAAGGAAAGCGGGGTCCTTTCCTTCCTCCTCACTTTGGCTCTTCACATACAATAAAATGCTAGTATATATATAGTGGAAGATGAAAGGCCCCAAAACTGATGTGGGATACATGTGTTTCCTCCTTCCAAGTGTTCGACTTTGTGAATTAATTTCTCATTCAATTGAGCATCATTTTTGGCACACAATATGTTGAAACACTTGTCTCACTTAGGAGATTGTTCGTCCATATCTATTTTGAAGAAATAATTTGTGTGGACCCCACCGAATTTATGTCTGAAGTTATCTTGTTACAAGCCAAAAATTCCAACAATCCCCCACATGAATGAGAATTTATTCTTGTGCTTGGAAATAACTCTATAGTTGAAAGACTGTAAGAATAGGTGGGCTTTCATGCATTTGAACCTACTCCTTGTAGGGTATACCTTCTTTACTCGATATTCAGTAAAGCATGATGTCCTTGAACTGTACTACCACTTGTTGTAAATGATGATATACCATACACATTATTCTTGGTGGCAGATGGGGCGAGATGGTCGAAAAGGACGTGTGAAACAAATTACTGTTGAAAAGACATGAATTTTATTCTGATTTTGATTTCATAAATGAATTCGCTTCCGCAACATTTTAAATACTCTGTTATTATCTGCAATTATTACTATGAAACAAAATTAAATTATTTGAAATATTTTTGAATGTTTACGATTACCAAGTTAATACTTTAGTTCGAAAGGGGCTGCAGACCTAAACGGATTAGGGTGTTACAAAAAGAGATGGAAACTTGTATTAGTTCAATTCCAAGGATTTAAGATACTCAAAAATCACTTGTCTTGCCACTTCTCTTGAATTCACTACATTATGGCATCGTAAGCTAGGGCATGCTAATTATGATCTTTTAAGAAAACTTGCTTCAAACGATCTAGTTGTTGCTTTGCCAAAGATGAGCAAACCCCCTTTCAGTTTTTGTGATGCATGCTCTCCTAGAAAACCACATAAGATATCTTTCAGACCTATAAAAAATGGTTTTGACGTCAAGCCCACTTGAATACGTATATATAGACTTATTTGGGCCCGCAGACGTACAAAGCCTAGGTGGAGCTAGTTTGACTTTTGTCATTGTAGATGATTTTTCTCGTTATATTTGGGCTATATTACTTTCTAATAAAGATGATGTGTTTAATGCGTTTGTTAAATTGTGCAAGAAAATTCAAAATGAGAAAGGATATTTGATTACTTCCATTAAAAGTGATAGATGCGAAGAATACTGAAATACCAACTTTGAAGTCTATTGTGATGAGCATGGAATTTCTCACAACTTCTCTACAACAAGGATGTAATGCCCCAAAAGATGGTCTAAAAGTTATTCTATAATAAAAGTATTTTAGAAAAAATATTTTAACCCGATAAAATATTATTTCTATGTTTGACCAAAAATGAAGGAATTTTTGGAGTCAATGATGTTTTGTTAAAATTTAGCTTTATGAATAGGTCTTGAAGAATCGAATCCAACGGTATATTTTATGAACAAATCTAAGGAACGGATTTTGAGCTGTGACATTTTAAATATATAATTTTCATAAAAATGAGAAGTGGTTAAAGATGTGAACTTTTGTAAAATGATATCTTGAAATAAACTATTTAAATTTAATAATATTGATTGAATATGAGAGTACTTTAAATTATATGTCGATTAATTCAATTTTGACTCTGTCAAAATTAACACCCAAAAATATAATGTCATAAAAAGTATTCCAAAAAAATGTGAAAATTATATTGTCGCGTAGAACTTGACTATCTGACCGTAAAGGTACAATCAGATTTCAATTTGGATAAAATTTGACAAAAATATACCCCGATTGGGAACATTTTAGTCCCAATCAGGGAGAGGCGTGTGAAATCCCCTCAAATCCCACCCAGCGGCTGCAAATCCTAGAAATGGAGATTTGAAGAGGATATTCTTGGCTTCATCCTCTTCATTCCATCTATATAAGGAGCACAATTCCTCCTTCATCCCTACACCAAACTTCTTCATTCTTTTTCTATTCTACTCCTTGTTGTACGGAGAACAATCCGCAAGTGATCGCCACCATTAAAGTCACCGGAGGTAGCCACGGTTCTTGCCAGAAGTTGCCCCGGAAAGTTGAATGAAGAAAACATCCACTGTGCAAATCAGCCCACTTGTGAGCATTTTTACATCATCTAAACTTTGTTATTTTAATCTGGTTTCTAAACAAAAGTTGTATCCTTATGTCTTACAAATCCGTAGCTTCAAACGGTTCGTGATTTCGTTGAGTAATGGAGATATGACCCAAAAACCAGGGCTGGTACAGTGGTGACGGGAAGTGGCGAATTTTAAGATTTCCGGTGTTGTTTTCTCTCCCGTTCGTTCGTTGAACTTCATCTCGTTGATTTCCAGGTCTGTACCATGATTTTAAACCACTTTAGAAGGCATTGGAATGATCCTTGAACTTATTGATTCATATATATTTAGAAATATAAATATTTTGATATTCACAATCACCAAATTTGTTTTGTTGATAAAGATTCAAATAAATCATTTGTGTATGATCTATGGACATTAGAAAACATTTTTATAAAGTTTGTTTAAAGCTTAGAAGCTTTTATGGTGTTTTGAGAAATTGGATCGAAGGTTGAAGATGATGAATAGTAACTCGTTTTTCGGGCGGTTTCCAGAGCGATACGAACAACTGTGCGGATCCAAGGGTCGACCGTTACGAACATTTTAAGTCCGAAAATGCTATTTTTGAAGATATAAAATCCTATTTTTGATACATCAATATAAAAACAATATTTTTAGAGAAAAAAATGATGTTTGGACAACTAAAGAACCTTATATGATTTATGACGATAAAAATGATGTGTATTGTTAAGGATATTGATGATTAAAAATGAATATATTGATGAAAATGAATAGATTGATGATTATGAAAAATGAAAATGAATATATTGATAATTATGAAAATGATGTGTATTGTTAAGGATATTGATATGTCCATTTTGTAAGCACTTATCTTCTCTATATTTAATGTGTTGTGGTCCAATTTTGGATTAAACAAATCAATTTCTCAATGGTTTTTATATCTTTTATTCATAATTGCAAAAGTGTACAAAAGTTATGTCTTGTTATAAAAAGAATAAAAATTGAATCAAAAGTGGTACAAAAAGTGTAAAAGATTGTGCAAATGGAATGCAACGGAGCAAAGAGATTTGTTCGGAATTTGAAGTTAGTGCAGAAGGAAAAGTTGTTCAGAATAAAATTTTGAGCAAGATAGCATTTTTGGAAAAAATATTTCGGACCAGATCAAAATCCGACCAACCAGGTGCCACGTGGCGCAACCTGGCTGGCCGGCCAAGTGTGGCAGCAATGTAGCAGCACGCCAGCAGCAAGTGGGTGGATCTCCATGAATTAAAGAAAAAAAAAAGAAAGAAAGATAGAAAGGAGTTAGTGGAGTGACGCATGAAGAAACAAAAGAAATACGTAGTATACTCCATAATCCTTTGATTTGCAAAACCAGCACATCAGCCGCACCTCCTCCCTTTTCAGCACAGGCGTGCGCTTGGACCTCAGGCCCACGCCTGTCAAAGGTCTGGACCGAAAATTTCTCCTATAAAAGGAGGGCTTCGCCCCTTCATTCTAATCAAGCCTTCTTCCGGGTCTTTAAGGCCCGGAACTCCATTCTCCGCTCCGTTCTCAGTTAAATTTTAATATTTTAGTTTAGTTTTGTTCCGGTTGTCCCAAAGTGGCTCCAACTCTGCTCTCTGTTGTAAGTTTAAATACTTGCAATTTTAATAAAATGTTCGTTTCTTTTATGCACTGTTGATATCTAGTATGGGTTAGGACCCGAATTAGGGTCTTGGCTAAATTTGGGCATATACTCTGTATGTTTATTTAATAGTTGGAATAATTGTTCTAGAACTATTTTTATTGTTAAATTAATTAATTATGTCGAGAGAAAAATTAATTAATTATTGGAAATTAGTTTTTGCCTTGTCTCTGAGGATATAAAATTAATTAAGCCAAACTTTTTAGAACACATTAATGTTGCCTTAGCTTGAGAGAGGATAAGTTAATGAAATATTTGGGGTCTTGGAAATTGATGATGATTATTAAGGATATCTAGAAGAACTCTAAGATATACCTCCTTGACCAATTCATAATTTGGGGTTAAAACGTACGTACGGGATCCAGACCGGATATCACCCGCCCGATAGTTCACTGTTCGGTTGGTACATAATCCACATGACTCGTAGGGTGGATCATCGATTCGTGTGTTCTGCCTTAAACTATTTATAGTTTAAGAGCCCTGTTAGAAATATTGCCTTAGATTAGTTATAGTTTAAGAGCTATGTTATCAATATTAATTTGACTTAGACTAAAAAAATAGTTTAAGCGCATTGATATGATTTGGCCTTAACTTAGAATAAGTTAAGAGCAAATTGTGATAAAATTTGATATGAAATTATGTGTAAGAAATGATGAATATTGTGATAACAAAAGTGACATATGATTATTGTGAATTATGGAGTGATTACTACATAAGTTTGAATTATGGACTGATTATTTAAGAATCGACTATGTTCATTATCCTTATTAAAATAACAAAGACGAATTTAAATATGAAAAAACGAATATTTGAACATATATATGTGATTGGATTGTTTAAGAAATTATTCTGTGAATTCTTTTGTTGTGTCATGGTAGCACTCAGCTTCATTACTACGCGTGTAGACTTTTTCATCTTTCTACACGTAGGTAGCGAGAGAATAAATGTGGAGCCTATTCTGGATATTGCTGAGATGGAGGTAATGTGTGGACGTGCACAAATCCATTATTTAAGTAAATGATTTTATCACATTGTTGACCATATCATTTTAGTTTGCAAATTGCTTCCGCACTGTTTTAAATAATTTTACTCCAATGTTATTATGAATTATTTAGCACAATAATTTTACTCCAATGCTTTAAATAATTTTACTCCAATAATAAAGTTTTTAAATGTTTGAAATTTTTACGTTACCAAGTTAATACTTTAGTCCGAAAGGAGATGCAGACTTGGACGGATTAGGGTGTTACAAAGGACACCTCAACAAAGTGGAGTAGTTGAGAGAAAGAATAAAACATTGCATGAGATGTCAAGAAACATGCTAAATGAGCTCAAACTACTTCAATATTTTTTAGAAGAAGTGGTCAAGGCAGCATGTTACGTTCTAAACTGGGTATTACTTAGACCTATTATCAAAGAGACTTATTATGAACTTTGGAAAAATAGAAAACCAAACATTTCTTACTTCAAAGTTGTTTTTGGTTGCAAGTGCTATATATTGACTACCAAAGATCTTTTGGGCAAATTTGAGCCTAAATCAAATGAAAGAATCTTTTTTAGGTATTCAACAAATATCAAAGCCTAGAAGGTCTTCACTAAATCAAATTTTAAAGTTGAAGAATCTATGCATGTAAAATTTGAAAAATTGATTCCTTTGGGTTAAGTAAGGTAATTACATGTACAAATGAAGAAGAAGAAGTCTTGCTAACTCTGAGTCAAGATAAGATTTATGAAGAAAATGAGCTACCCAAGGCGTACAAACATTTAATCTAAAGAAAATGTTAAAGTCACAAACATATAGTTCACAAACTTCACAAACTTGTTTTTTCTGGATTTTAAATTAAAACATCTTTTATTATTTGAGTGCATCTTATTTCTAGGAAAATGTTAAAAAGGTAAGTTTGTGAATTTTGTGAACAGTTTGTTTGTTACTCTAACATTACTCATCATATAAAAGATAATATCGTTGGCAACATTGAAAAGGGAGTTAGAACTAGGAACAATTACAATCTTTGTGCATACTATGTGTTTGTTAGTAAATTTGAACCTAAGAACGTAGATGATGCATTAAAAGATTGTGACGAGACTGTACCATGCAACTAGAGCTAGAGCAATTTGAATGCAATAAGGTTTGGGATCTAGTCAAACATCGACAAACCAACCCGTTGTGGGTACAAAATGGGGTTTTAAAAACAAGCTCAATGAAAATGGTGTTATCAATTTATATGTTATTAGCCAAGTTGAAAGGCTTGAATCAATTTATATGTTATTAGTCTTTGCATGTGCTCTGAATTTCAAACTTTTTCAAATGGATGTTAAAAGTACTTTTCTAAACAAGTGGTTGAACGAAGAAGTTTACGTTGAACAACCCTCCCGGTTTTGAAAACTAATTTTCCGAATCATGTTTTTCAATTGCATAAAGTTCTCTATGGACTCAAATAAGCTCCTCAAGTTTGGTATGGGCATTTCACCTCTAATGGATATGCCAAAGGAAAGATTGATTCTACTTTGTTTGTTAAAACCAAGGGATAATGTTATTTAAGTAATGAATTTTCAGCTCTAGTGACAAACAAGTTCGAGATGAGCATGATGGGAAAATTGAATTTTTTTCCCTTGGGCTGCAAATTAAGCAACTTAAATTGAAGATGACATCTTCATAAGCAAGAAATTTGATCTCGAAAATTCAAAGTCATATGTCATACCCATGAACACTTTAATAAAGCTTGATAGTGCTGCAAATTTGGAATCTGTAAGTGGGAAGGTATATTGAGGTATGTTCGCGTTTACTTAATTGCATCTTGACCACATATCATGTTTTCCCTTTGCCTTCGTTCACGTTTCCAATCATCAACCAAACAATCATATATGACCACCATCAAGCGGAAAATTAAGGATCTATTCTTTAGGACTGGAAAAAAAGAGTTGGACGTTGGAAGAAACTTGAAGGAGCTAGAAGAAACTGGAAAAAACTGGAAAAAACTGGAAGGAACTGGAAGAACTGGAAGAAACTGGAAAAAACTGGAAGGAACTGGAAGAACTGGAAGAAACTGGAAAAAACTGGAAGAAATGGGAAGAAACTAGAAAAAATTAAAAGGAACTGGAAGAAACTGGAAAACTTCAAAAAATTGGAAAATCTAAAAAAACTTTACAAACATTTATTTTAAATTCTTGTTGTTATAAATTATTATTATTATTATTATACAAAAAAATATTATTATTTTTTAAATACAAAAAACTACTTTTACAAAAAAATAATTATAATATAAAATTAGCATAAATATAAAAATTTTAAATTTTAAAAAGTCTTTGTGGTTATATTGCACCTCAATTTATTTATGTAATATTTATTATAAATAATATATTTGTAATTATACTTTATATATTACAAGATTTTGTTTTAAATATTAGACATGTCACATAATGCAATCAAATCTATTTTTTCTTTCATGATTGACATTTTATTTTTATTGTAGTCCTATTTTTGGAATAAATACATAGAAATTTCTTTTTACATTTTTTTATGTTTTACTCCTATTTTAGTCTTTTTTCTCTAAACTATTTTGACTGTAAAAAAAGAGTTGGATGTTGGAAGAAACTGGAAAAAACTGGAAGGAAATGGAAGAAACTGGAAAAAACTGGAAGAAACTGGAAGGAATTGGAAAAAACTAGAAGGAACTGGAAAAAATGGAAAAAATTGGAAGCAACTGGAAAAACTTGGAAAAACTGGAAAACCTAAAAAAACTTTAAAAATATTTATTTTAAATTCTTGTTGTTATAAATTATTATTACTACTACAGTACTACTACTACTTCTACTAGTATTATTATTATTATTATTATTATTATTATTATTATTATTATTATTATTATTATTATTATTATTATTATTGTTATTGTTATTGTTATTGTTATTGTTGTTGTTGTTGTTGTTGTTGTTATTATTGTTATTGTTATTGTTATTGTAATTGTAATTGTGATTATCATTATCATTATCATTATCATTATCATTATCATTATCATCATCATCATCATCATCATCATAATCATTATCATTATCATTATCATTATCATCCGTTCCGTTCAACTTATTTTTTCTAATCTGATCTAATTTTAATAAGTTCTGATCTGATTAGATCTGATTAATTATAATTTAATTTAAAATTTCAAGTCATTAATTTGATTTGACTTTATAATAACGTTTGAAAATTGTAATGATAATTCATATTATAATATAATCAATATTTTTTATTTAATGATTTTTTTTAATAAAATAAAATTAGTTAATTCATTAATTAGAAGAATCATTCATATTATAATGTAATACTCCGTAATATTTTTTATTTTATGATTATTTTTTTGTGATATTAGAATATTAATTTAATATTTTAATAATTACTTCATATATACATTAGAATAAATATTTAATTTAGATATACATTAAAAAGTAATTAAATTTAGATAATCAATATATAAAAGCGATAGTATTTTTATTAAAATATCTCATCCTTATAAAAGATCAAAACTTTAGAAACTCAAATTACAAGTAGCAATAAAAATATATTTTAAAAGTAGAATTAGATTGACATTGTCAATGTATTTTAAAACCAATTTTTCCGGCGTCTAATAATTAAGGATTACTTTCTCAATTTTCTATTTAACATATTTCTAAAGTTTATTCTTTTTCATTTTTAAGAACAACAACAACAACAACAACAACAACAATAATAATAATAATAATAATAATAATAATAATAATTACAACAAGAATAATAACAATAACATTAACAATAATAATAATAATATTAATAATAATAATAATAATAATAATAATTATAATAATAATAATAATTATAATAATAATAATAATAATAATAATAATCACATTGAAATATATCATTTTTAGAGTAATTGGTTTAGGAGTAGAAAGAATTTGAAGAAAATGAGAAAAGTTAGAAGAAACTGGAAAAAATTGGAAAGAACTAGAAGAAACTGGAACAATCAAGAAGAAATTGGAAAGAACTGGAAGAATTGGAAATAACTGGAAGGAACTGGAAGAAATTGGAAAAAACTGAAAAGAACTAGAAGGAACTGGAAGTTAAGAGTTCAAGCCATAAAAAACAGGCTCTAGTAGTAGTCATCAGTAAAAAGCTGTAATAAACCACACTTTCAGGATGAAAAGCTTCTAGCACAGGGTCTTGATCTAAACGATAGTCTGCAATGCGTGCTTGCGAAACACAACGCCATTGCTTCTGGTGCCGTATTTCCAAATTCAGTCTCTGCCATTAATGAGCAATCATCTGAGACGCGGGACCTGCCCTAAAAATAGCTAAAGAGGGCCTTATGATACAGCAGCCGCTGCAGTGGATGCCAAACCTCTAGTAGATGAAGATGACGACTTCGCTCAGTTGGCTAGAAGGCATGGCACTGTTTTTTTTTTTAAATGGAGGGTTCTTCTGAGTGGGGGTATAAATTCATCTTTCTTAGTAAAACATTAAACTATAATGATGAAAATGAGTGCAGGCATTCCAAACTGCAACCTCAGATGAGGGATGGGGGTTGTTCGGCAGCCATGAACAGTGACTTGGTTCTTTGTGACCCGCCTGCGCCAGAAAAAAACAAACAAAAGAAGAGAGATATTTACATCTTTCTTTACCTATGCATCAAATTATTATTAGATAAGCCTCCTGGGTGACGAGCATCAATTAACCCACCAAGCTTCACGTTCACGTACGCACGTAGCATGTCATGGAGGCTAAACAAATATGGTAAACATACACAAATGGGGCAAGGGACCGAACTTGTGATGGTTTGTGTCCTCATCTTGGAGGAGAAAGCTCATCGGCATAGAGAGAGACACAAGAATCTGCAGCACCGGCTGCAAGGAGGACTTGGTAAGGGTGGAACGCAAGACACCTAACAGATCCAATCTTTTGTGCCATGAAAGTGGACAGATAGCGTATGGTGCCTAATTGCTCGCCCTCCAAGTTGAACACCTTGATGAGTTGCTTAGCTGAGCCGCTGGCTATGAGTGGAGCATGCCGATGAACAGCCAAAGCCGTCAGTGATCCCCGGTGGGCGTCAATGGTTAGGTATGCATCCTTCACGTTCCTCACGTCAAGGAATTGAATATCACCAGCCTGAGACGCACTCACAATCTGGAACAGAAACAGCAAAAAAATGGCTGGTTTCATATCTTTCTATGCATTTTGCTTTTTCTCGTTTCTATAAAATAGGAAAGTATCAAAAAGACCAAAACAGATGATGAGTATAGCTTTCACTTCTTTCACCTTGGCTGGTTGTAGTCCAGGCTGAAACCCAATTCCCACAACTCTTTCTACTCTCTGGGTGTGTGGTTGAGTTGTAGCAACAAGCCTACATAAATGCAGACTATCAGTCACAAGCGAGTCTCAGTAATGTTATATATTCTCTCAAAAAACTACTACCTCCTACCTACGTAGTATTTTTAAAGAAGCCATTTTTTTTTACCATTGTACAGCTTTCGAAATTTGATATGGCAAACATGTCAGAAATCATAAATTGTACTTGGATTTTTAAAATGTATTTTTTACAAGTGTTTGAAACACACCCTTGGACGGAAAGTTTATGTTTATAACAATGTATGCATATAAGTTTGTGTATTATATGATCGATACATAGCAGACAGTAACTGCTATGGTTTAGAACAATCGACACCATTCATGGCCATATGCAATTGAAGTGAGGTGAAAATACTCAATTTACTGGAAAATGAAACTATGAGACAAGTCGTAGAATAGTTCAACAAAACAGCAGATGTGACATCTTAAATATACCGCAAATTATGAAGAACACACATGTTATATCATGACGAGAACATTTTAAATATACTAAAATGTGATTTAAACACAAACAAATTGCCTTACATGTCTGGCATTCTGATATCAAAGAGCCTAACAGATCCATCCACAAAACCAGCTGCAAATTGACTTCCATGAACCTGAGAGGCAGACTGCACAAGGCCAGAAGAACTTTGTCTTTTAAAAGAAACTAATTATCAATTTGAAACTATTTTATAACTGGATAATGGATCATAACAAATCCAGGGAGAATAATGAAGCACTGGCCAATGCAGAAATGCTGCAGTCTGAGGATGATGGAATAGTATGTACAAGCTGCTCTTTGTCTAAATCCCAAGCCATTATTGATGAAATTTCACCGGATGAAAACTGAGGTAAGCATAAGCAAGTTATATAAGAATATACACGACAAGTGACAAGATGTCACATCTGAATGAAGAATAATTAATAAAATAGACATATAGGCAGGTAAGAGCGTGCACACACACACACACGTACATACATACATACATACATACATACATACATACATACATACATACATACATACATACATACATATATGTGTGTGTGTGTGTGTGTGTGTGTGTTCCAGTCAGATGACAACAATAAACAAAAAACTGTTCAGAATGCTCATCACATTACCCTGCAAAGCTCACCAATTGCTAATGCAAAACTCACCTGGAATTGAAGCAAAGTTCACTGCTTTGAACACCAAGTCACCATTTTTTAAACTTTAAAAATAAAAAAGCAACACCGGTCAGCGGCGGCAATCAGCGACCAGTGGCGTCATAGACAAGCCACCGGCGGCGGCAGGGGGCAGTCAACAGCGGCAGTCAGTGGTCAAAGTTCAGTCAACATGGGTCAAAGTCCACTCCTTTGATTTTTTTTAAACAAAGTGTTGAGAAACATGGTGAGCTTTGCAGTTGCTGTGAGGGAGCTTTGTAGTTGGCAGTGGTGAGCTTTACATCATCTTACCGAAGCATGTCATCATACCATAAGTGTCATCAGACTCGAGAGAGAGAGAGAGAGAGAGAGAGAGAGAGATAGAGGGGGATAATGTTACACCAACGGCAACACTAGTTCAATTGGGGTACCAACGATGCTCCGTTCGTAAAATCGATGGTCCCCCCTTTATCCCTTTTATCTTCATTCTTTCCCTTTTAGTACATCCAAAATTCTTTATTACTTCCTTTTGAAAGAAAAGATTATATGATTCATCTTATTTCGCTTTTGAATAAATCTCAAACACGGTTTCCACTTTTTTTAAACGCATGCCAAGTCAAATGAGATAATAGGACAGTGGGAGTATGTAGAATCAGTCGCACACACGCACGCACGACATCAGCTTTAAACTTTCTATTACTCGTGTTAATCAAAGTGTACCAGGCAACCAGATTGCTGCTGCCAATCCACCACAGCATTCACACTACGTATACCCACTCTCTGACCCTGAATTGAACAGAATGCAGTGACCAACTTTTGTCGGTCTCTTGATGCATAATCCTTCCAAATGCGAATGTTGCCATCACCTGCAAGAAATAACAGCAGTGTTGATCATTACACAGTCTTAACATAAAATCTAGTTTTTCAAAGGATGCCCTGTGGTTACTTGAAGCAACAAGAAGCAAACTTTCATCGAGCTCATTCACAAGGCACAGCTTTGAGATTCCACTGTCAGGGTAGCTGTGATTATCAAAGCTGTTAAGCAGGGTTGCCTCCTCATAATTCCACACCCTAACAACCATAAACAATTTTATGGAACATTGAAGAATAGAAGATAAATTATAAAAATTAAATGACAGTCATAATTTGTTCCACTTCCTTATCATACCAGCATTTTTCAAATTTAATTTACATTCAAAAATCAATTATAAATTTCAAATTAGACAAAAAGAATTCACCCTAAATAGGAGTAAAACATAGAGAAAGTACCAAAATAGGAGATCCATTTTTCCCCTCAAAATAGGAGTTTGCATTGTGATAATGTGACAATGTATATGGACATTTCGCAATACTTTATGGTATTATATATTGGCATGATTGGCATTGTAAATGCATTTTAACTCCTATTTTTGAAATAAAAACATGGAACTTCAATTTTGGCATATTTTCTATATTTTACTCCTACTTTAATCAATTCCCATAGACAAATTCCTTACAATGAATCATTCATTACTTCACCGAATAGGCAATAGTCAAACTTAAGAATGACTTCCGTAAATTATGTGTCAAGAAATGCAGCTATAGTGTGATACCAATTCACAGACGATGGCATATCATTTCTCCTTAAAGCATGAGAATGATAAACTTTTCTTTTGCTAAAACATCAGTTCTCCTAAAATACTTGTTGAAATAGCACTACTCTTGATCTCATTCTTAAGATCTTATCAATGAAAGAGTTTCATATTTACATTCTACATTCCAGAAGTTCAACTGAGTTTGGGGTCAATTGTATTATAACAGTTACATACCCAAGGTAGGAAAATATGTTTCCTTACCAGATTCTTTCACTCTCATCTGAAGCAATTACAAATGGCGAGAATGGCTGCAAGATGGCAGTTTTTGTACCAGTTTCAAATCTTGTATCCCAGCTGGCAATTTGTTTATGGAGCTTGCTCACGGCTGACAACGGAAGAAAAACTTTAGAACACCCGAAGTCTACATTCAGATCAAAAATGAAAAAGCAACATGGCTCTGCAAAAACTCAACGTGGAAATGGCATATTGAAAAAAATGGGAACTTAATAAGACATACTAGAGTGTTGGCACTTTGTGATCAAATCAAGGGCCATCTTCTCCCTCTCTACTCTTCTACTGATTATCTCTTCACCGTCATCAGCTTCAGTAAGAAGTGGCTTTGAAAAGTGGCCACAGCTCCAATTGTATATGGTAGATTGTGGAAGGAAACTGCGCTCAGACGTTCCAGAAGGTCCACCTGAACCCAAAAGTGGGTCAGCCAACCCAGTGTCTGGAGAGTTCATCAAGTGTGGTCTGAACTCAAGCGAACAAACTCTTCGTAGTCCAGTCATGTAACTGGCACGAGGGGGGCTAACAGGAGGAGTTCTGAATGTTAAAGGCAGATGACTGGCTGCAGCAATCAAATGAAACCTCAAAAAAAAAAATAGTGGCAAGCGAAGTTCCTTATTGACCAAAGAAATGCACATAAACTGAAACTGCCAAACATTGCTAAATTAGTTTGAATGTGCAGGTTAGATACCTCCTCCATTCACATCGAACCATGAAGACGATTGAGCCAGTCCTGCAAAACTAGTGCTAGGAGCTGCAGTAAATTCGCTGGTAGACTTGACAGATTTGGTAACAACTTGTTCAATACCAATTAAGGACAGAACACGCCGACCAAGGCCCGCAATGCGTGGCGATGGATCGTTTGCCAGGGTGCACAAAACTAACACACACTGAGAATACAATGCATTATCTAGTGGTCTTGTATGGTTCAAAATGCCATTGCCAATGGCATCATTTAATAAGCCAGAATCAGAATGTTGAGATGAATCATCAGACAAGGGAGACCCGTGCATAATACTTGGTGCAGCAAGGGGGCTGCTACTAGAGACTCTCCCATCCCGAATGGTAGATTGGTTTTCACCTCCAACTCTCAATAACGGAGCTCTCAGAGTTGGAATGATACTTCCATGAGACACATAATGTGTTGGAGTTGTATATCCACTGCCTGAACTCTTGACAGCAAATGAAGGCAAACATGTTAGCACAGAATTGTTTTGAGGCTTCAAATATGTGGCTGCAACAGACTTCAGGTGCTTATTATGCCCAAATGCAAACCGCGCCAAAGCTGCAATGATGTAAAAAACAAAATGAAATGTTAAATGCAGGTCAAATATGGACTTGTAAATGTGGGTTATTGACATTAAGTGCCCTACTAAACTTTGCAATTTCATAGAGAATTTCATTATTAGGCAAACAGTGAACGTTGGGGCAGGACATAAATTATGTGTCCACAAAATGTTCTACGGTTTAAACTATTCACTTGAGCACTTTACAATACTTTTCATTACCTGTCAATTTTTCAGAGGTCTCCACAGAAAGTTGGAAACAGTTCTATACTCCCAGGGATAGAGATAAGTCCTGAGTTCATCATACCCTCCCCGACTCTACTTCCGAGTAGAATATACTAGGTATGTTTGATTTGGTTTACTTGATCGTGAAGGGTAAATAAATCAAAGGACAACTCGAGAAAAGAAAAGGATTTGACACTTTTTTATTTCTTCCGTTAAATGTCATAACTGCATATTAAAAGCTTCACATTTTTCTTTTCCCTAACACAATGTTTGGTTCAAGGAATTTGAGAGGGAAAAGAAAAGAAAAAGAAATTAGAAAGCAATTTTTCAAGTTTGGGTAGAGGAAAAATAAAAGAAAAGTAGAAAGAAAAGAAAATGAGAAAAAAAAGACTAAGAAGGAAAACTTGATTTCTTCCATTTTGGTGAGTAACAGGAGAAATCATTTTCTTTTCCTTTCCTTCCAAATTTCCTTGAACCAAACATAGGGTAAGTTCTTTTTGCTTAGGGAATGGGGCGTTTAAACCAAATATACTAGAACGGAAATCAATATACTGCATACCTACGGCAACCTCAGCTCTAACCAATGGACTTCCGTCAGAGACAGGACTCATAAGGCTCTTAAGAATACTAACTACAGCCTTGACTTTTTCATCAACGTCACTATCTTCATCTCCTCCAACACCATCATTGGATGTGCCAAACCCAATGTCTAGCAAAGTGCCTAGTGCAAACACAACAGCACCTCGAACCTGGTATTAAAAAAATACAAAAATCAAGTTTAGACTCTGCATCGGAGATAAACGAAAGGAAAGTGATATTGGCTGCTAGAAACCTCAGGTTGGGGTGCAGAAAGTAAAGGAGCAAATATCGCAGGTGCATCTGACTGTATAGCAATCAGTTGTGCCTCAGTGAAATCTTCCCATAGTTTTCCAAGACATAGGCACAACCACTGAAGAAAAAGAGGTTCAGTTTGTGTATCATTTGATGTTGATCCCTGAAGATGTCTTAAGCAGACATGTAAAAGGCCGGCTTCAATACAGGCTTCCTGACCCCGTCTGTGACCATCCACAATGACAGCTAAAACAAATGCAGCCATAGCCCGCTGTTCTGGATAGGCATCAATACTATCAAGAAATCTGGTGAAATATGTATGCCCGCCATCCTTTACAAGATCAACCTGGCAAGACTTTTAGCACAATTATGCTGATAGTTAGTATTGTATCAAATAACCTCTCTTCTCCTTTTTATTCCACACAAGTATCAGGAGAAATGAAAAGACGGGCACGATATAAAGCAATGTCATGGAGGGTACTTCATGTGGAAAATAAGGAAGCGTTTGAAAGTAATTGCTTGACAAAAGTAGAAAGGAAATTTTGAAGTGTACCTTATCAAGTGCAAGAATCTTTGTCCATATAAAGACAAGAATTTGCCTAAGTTCAGGAGTGGTCGTTTGCAAAAGCTTCAAAACATATGGAAATATACCAACAGATAATGCCTAGATGAAGAAGAAATGGTTGAGTAAACTACTGAATATTTGACTTGAAAAGCTTGAACAAGTTTTCACCAAAAAACACCAAGATCTACCAGATCAACAGCCCAAGGGCCCATGTCCAAAAATCTTCCAAGAAGCACCAAAGCACGAAACCGGTGGCATTGACTAAGTAACACCTTAAATGAAAAGGTAGAACCAGTTATATTGCACATCAATATTTTTTCGAGCTAAAGGTAACACAGAGCCAACATTAAATAAGTAACAGAATAAGCACAAAAGACTCCAACTAAACTTCAATTATCGGGAGCAACAACAGCTGCATTAGTCTGACAACTAGGTATCTAAGCCCATAACATAACAATTAGTTTACAATTTTCCCAACACAGATCAGATCACCAATCAGAATAGCACTAATTTTTTGCATTAGCACCACTATGCTACACTTCATGTTAAATGTTGCAGAGATCCAAAAAAAAGTGTTCATACACTAGAAGAACAATTAGTGATTAAAAACATCACACAACTTCAGTGGATAGGAGAAAAAGAAGCATTAAACTTAAATACCCAAAAAAATTGCCAAGATTTATTAATAATAATTATTAGGTTAGAGACCACATTGTGGCCCTTATTAATTAATACCAAGAAACTTTATACCTGAAGCACAATAGGCAACTGCTCTGGAGGTTTCTTGTGCTCGGATCCATGATCCAGCCAAACCTCAAAAGCTGTCAACTGCTCAGTGAAAAATGGACTAGGCTGCAAATTTTGAAGTGTAAAATATCAACCTTGGGCAAGAAAGGTTACTATGAAATTCAAACACTTCATGAAAAACTTCAAAAATTGCATAAATCTAACCCGTGGGGAAAACATCGTTATATGTATTTACAACAGAAGAACAAATGGATAATTCTCACTTGAAACTCGGCATTGGGATCCTCAACTAATGCTGGAAGCTGAGAGAGGCAAATTTCAGCAGCCATGTCCCATGCATCCCTATAGCGTGTAAACTTAAATAAGAATGATGTAAGGTTGAAATAGAACATATTCTAAGAGCCACATATAGTTACCACATATGATGCTGATGAGTTGGTGGCAACAACGGGAATGAAATTGGTGAACAATTTGCAGAGCGCATAATTCTTTCAGCAAGTAAGAAATTTCGAAACAAACTCGCAACTAATAGATCTTGCCTGAACAATCTCTGAAACAGATCTATGTATTCAAAAAACATCCAAGGTTAGACAAACACAACCATGCAAAATAAGATTTGCTGAAGCACATACTAATCCTGTTATTAATATTTTACTACCATGGGGAAGAACATTCCAAGCAATTGTGTGTGTAACTGCCATAAAAATCCAGTTCAATTCCCCAAGAAGTGTTTTCCGGTCAGTCTGTCGACCGGGAATTCTATCTATGAGTGAATAATCAAGTGAGTTACGCAACAAAGATTGATTGCAAAACCTGTGAGAACCAACATTGAAAATTTTGAGAATGAAAGTAAACACACATCACTTGTCATCAAACAAATGACATACTGCAGTAAGTCCGCAGCCAAATACTCAACAAAAACTCCAAAAAGGAAGAACGTAAACATCAAAAACAAGTTTCACAATTTCCATAAGCAGTTTATCATATTTTGCAATTAGCAGTTATGGGAAACACCAGACAGCAGAACACAAATTAACATGCAGAAAACAAGAAAACAAATCTAAGTTTATCATGCAGGATGAGCTTCAACACAGACAAACAGCCAGATAGAATCTGAACTTTAAGAGCACACATACTCAAGGGCCTTAAGCCCCATTCTTAATTTAACACTGATTCTTGGTTAAACAATAAAACCTAAAAAGTTGCAAAAAAAAAAGACAGTATCACTTATATATCTACTTCCTCTGGCCACAGAAACTCCATTAGTGAAAAAACACAAAGGTATACAGTGAATGCTTAATTAGGGAGTATACTTATGACGTTTTACCCAAGATAAGTGCATTTAATAAAACTATTGTACTCAAAATCTCTTCTTAGATGACAATTTGAGGAATGAGATTTAAATGCTGTTGAACTCATTAATCAGAGTTTTCTCTCAATATAATTAGTAGAATAGGTTTTAGTGGACAGATGGATTATAAAAAATTGAGAAACAATCTCATCATTTCTAGGCACAATAGTGCAAAAAAGAGGTATTCTTTTCAGCAGTCTGCTTTTGTTTAAAAATGGCTGACAAATCAGCAATTTGGGAAGGGGGAGCTAGGCCAGGGGTAGGAACCATCAATTTTACAAACGACACACCATAGGCGCTGTAGTTGGAGTTTTTGTCATATTACGACATTATGGTTTGTTGTCAAAAGAACAGTGGTGCATTAAGTGATTGAAAGAAACCCCTGGTCAAGCAGCACAATCACGTACGCAACCTCCCGTACGCAACCTGGTCACACGCACGCACGCACGCACGCACGCACGCACGCACACACACACACACACACACACACATTGCATTCATAGGGCCCGGTTCCTGTAAGAATGGACCTTGTGGAGAGAAATGAGAATGGTGCATTTTTGCTCGCTAATCTGAAGGAACAGGTGGAAAAAATAAAATAAAATTGGCAGCGATCGGAGAGGCATGAGTTGCGATCACCTTGTGCCATAGCTTTCATCGGAAATGGCGACCGCCATGGCGCGCCTCAAGCATATCGCCTCGCTCAAGCAAATTCAGGCGCTGGAGGGTCGCCACAGCGTCGTATTCATCATAGGCAACCATGGCACTCGCCTTTCATAACTATGGTTAGTTGCATACTTCACGATTAAAAGAATCGCATCCAGTTTAAAGAGCCATTTTGCTTTATTCCATCTTATGCATTCATTAGACCTTGTCAAAATCTAGTTCATACAAGTTGTACTAAAAGTAATTCAAATATTCAATCCAACAAGGTTTGGTTCAATCTACAAACATTATCATTGTTTGGATGGTATTTGTAAATTCAAAGTTTTAGTATCCATTTCGGATGTAACCAATGAGTTGTGACTTGAGAAGCAATGTTATCAAAACCAGACCGTGCCATAACCTGTTTCACCCAAACCCAAAGAAACCCATCTGACCCGCCGACCCGCATGGCCCAAGTCGGCCCAGAGGTCTGTGGGTTTAATCCCAAAACATTATATATCGTGTTTATATCTCCTTATAGTTTATAAGCTCAAAAGTCATGTGTTAAATTTGTTGCTAAATTCATGCAATAGCTTGTATATAGACTTTTTCAATTTCAAAAAACATCTAATTATCTAAAAAAGAAACACAATTGTGTAGTATACTTTTTATGAACTTCTAAAAATAATTTAAAGAAAAAAATAAACATTCTTGAGACCAGTTAACTCCGGGTTGACCGGTTCGACCAGTTAACAATTGACCCACTATATTGTTTAGTCAATGTCTGATGCGGATTTCAGAACATTCTTGAGAAGCAGTTGGAAGGTGTATTTCTGATCTTGTCATACAGTTAAGTTCAATTACGGAGTAGTATATAATTAAATCAAAAGTTAAAACTATAGGTTTGCTATGTTGCATTATATAAGCAAAGACGCTATAAACCTGGACAAGAAACCGGAAGGTAGAACGTGACATTGACCTATTGGGTTGACCCACACCCAATCAATTAGGGTTAAGCATTTTTAACCCAATCCCAAAAGTTACCTGACCTATAAATCACCGAAAACCAATTTTACCCAAACCTGGCCGGCCTAACATATTTGTTAGGTCTACTAACAGACAACCAGTCCCACACACACAGGGGATGTGGGGTCAACAAGATTATCAATCTTACTATATATGGGTCCACACTCGAAACGACCCAATTAGTCTAGCAGGCATCAGTTTCAGTGAAGAGGAAAGCTTCCTTCTGCACAATAGATTATTATTATTAGCAGCCAAAAACTAAGAGCAGTGAGAACTGCATAGTGAAAACTTCATACCACATGAAAGTCAAGTTTAAATTCTGTGACTGCAGATAATAATAATCAATATGAGAACTGTAAAAACTGCCGGGCTTGGGTATCCGGATAATTAATAAAGGAGAATAAGAATGTCAAAAAATAATAGTTTGAAAATACTTGCCATCGCAGTGCCATTTTAATTGGTGTCGTGAGGCATGAAGTAAATACATCAGCAGGAAATTCAGCACTTTGAGGAAGAGTTTCATGTGCTTCACATGCAGCAAGCAAAATGCAATCCCTCGAAGCCCCAGAAGAAGTAGAAGCATTCCAGTCCTGAAGCTGTATATGATAAGCAACAATGTTAATTGTCAATTCCAGATCAGAAAACTGCTAGTTTGCACTTATTGAAAAATATTAGTCTCATACCTCTATGAAGGCATTAACAATCATTCCAGCTGCGGAGCAATCAAAAACATATATAGATGGGGTTCTCAACCATGAATCCAGGTCACTGACCGGCAAAGGGATATATTGTGTATAGCTCTAAAAAACAGTCTAGATGAAATTAAGACAAAAACATATCACAGAACCGAAAAAGTATTAGATTAGAAACGAACCCTATTAAATAGCCATATTTCACCGTTTGCAGTTGGCTTCGGTACACCGTGTCCATTATAATGAAAAAGAACTCTTTCGGACTTGGCACTTTTACGACATGTTGTGCATAGTTTTTTAACTTCATCAACGGTGGGATCCAGTGAGATTTTATAGCGGGCCTTTAAATCAACATGTTTGTAAGGTACTTAATTTAAAAGTCATTACTCGAAACTCATGTAACACAGCTACACAACTATGCCTTCTCACGATGTACTTATCATGCAAAGACCTTTCGTACCTTAGGCTGCCACCTCTCATATTGCTGGTTCAAAGTCCTCCCAATTGTTCCGAGTGCTTTTTGTGCGGCCATTGAAAATGGATCTGCAAAATGAACAAAAGAAATGACATCATATGAAAGAAATTTTGTCACGCAGCTCTCAAGAGCAAAACGGAAAAAATGCATAAATGCAAAAGTATTCCTCTTCCCTACAAACAGTTAACAAAAACACATTGATTTAGGTTAATCAATTTTCTAAGGTTGGACCGGATGGATCAAAAGTTATCATCCTTCAAAGAAAAGGAAATGATTTAAAATAACATTTAAAATGCAAAACAAATGAAGATATGTGACTCTCCTTTTGATAGTTAGCATTATTACTCTAGTTATTACTTATTAAAAAGATAAATGTTCAACCTATCCAGTTCAGAATCCAAATAAAAATTGGTACTCGTAAAACCCAGACAATAAGATCAGACCATTAAACTGTCGGCAAGGTTATAGACCTTTAGTCAAACCACTAAAAGAGATAGATATTCAATTTACCAATCCAGCATTCCATGCGAGCACAAGGTGATATCTTGATTACATCAGGAGGATCAACACCAATGTTTAAGCACAACACAAGAGCAACGCATCCCGTTTGCATCTGCAACAAAAACTGTGGTAAAACAGAGTGCATTGTGTATAGCAGCATATGCAATAAAACTAATAATGACGACAACAAAAAAATTAATAATAGTAATAATAATAATAATAACAATAATAATAATATTAATAACGGTGCCCTTCTTTTGACAACAGCTTTTGTTGTCATAATATGACAATGGCTACAGTGCTCCGTTCAAAAAAATTTTGTTTCTTACCCCATAAACCCGCACCCCAGCAGCCACCCTCCCTGAAACACCAACTGGCTGCAGTGTTACTATAGCCAATCGGCGTTTTGGGAACACTGTAGCCAATCAGCGATTCGGGGAGGGGGCTGCTGGGGTGGGGGTTTATGGGGGTAGGAACCATCAATTTTCAAACGGAGCACCATAGCCATTGTTGTCGTAACTCGTAATATGACAATTTTTGATGTCAAAAGAAGGCCAGCATAATAACAACAATAATATCGTAACAATGAACCAGAAGAATGATAGCTAAAAATATAGCAGTAGGCATTTACCTAAAAAATGGCCTGATCTGTCTACCAACATGTTAAAAATGTGCCCACCATCTATCACATTGACAAGCAGAATACCATATATGTATTTTAAAGGAAAGATTATCTCAAGCTAATGGTATATCTTTCTCTCAATTGAGGACTCATTTCCATCTTCTTCTTATTTATTTATTTTTTAAATTTTAATTTTAATTTTAATTTTATTTTATTGTATTTTTTTCATTTAACCATTGAAAATCATCACACTGAAATAGATCATTTCATTTAAAAGTCCAAAATGTGATAATGAATCCAAGGCATTGGTTTTTATGGAAACCAGGGGCTTTACTTGTATTTCTACTTATCTAGTTTATCCCCAAACTTGCATGCTTTAATACTTAACATCATGGATTGCAGACTTGCAGGTTGAAGACATTCATAACAACAATTCATGGAGCAGTGGTGAAAAAAGTATGAAACATAGTATCACATGGTTGATTCATGCAAAGTACAAAGTAATAAGCATTGCACATTTAAAAGGTTATCTGACAAAACATAGTTCTACTTCATAAATCTACATTCTACGCTTTAAAGTAGTTAGAAATTTTAATGCTGCTAAATTGAGTTTATGGATCTTGGAACACGGTTTTGGTTCGGAAGTCGGAACCAGAACCAGCGGTTCCAAACCCAGATTCGGATAGATAGATGGGAGAACTGGAAGCAAAATGAAAAGTGAGGTTCCTTTTCTTATATCTTTGGAACCAATACAGCCAATTCTAGTTCTCGGTTCCATTCCAAATTTTTTGTTAAGATGTATTTATAATTTAATAGGAAACAAGTTTTGTGAGAAGAATTGCATTTTTTGTTAAATTCAATATCTAATTGCATTTGCTTAATAAGTATATTTAGTTAAAAAAATAAACAGATCATAACCAGAACCGCCAGTGGAACCGTATCGGTCCAAAGAGGTTCTAGTTCCAATCCCTCCATTTTAGGAATTGGGAACCATCGATTCTAGAACCAGAACCGCACCATGTCCACTGATACTAAGAGAGAAATATTACACCGAACTGGGGCTCAATACGGAAACACCTTGTAAGCTTGGACGGGGTAAGGTAGAATTTAGGCATTTAGCTAAGCAGTAAAGAGAAGACGACAACTAGGCAGCAACAAGGTGTGGATTTTATGAACAAAATTGAAAGACTTGGGTTTATTTGAGTATCATACATCTCTAATTTATCCTCTATTACTTTAGAAGTGTGACTCTTTCTTATCCATTGGAATTTATGTATTTTAATCTACATCAAAAGCTCTATAAAATAAGAAGTGACTTGACTATGTTATTTTAACAAAATGATTAACAAAAATAGATAAATAAAGAAGATGTGATTTGGTCTTTGAATAGTGAGCCATGCCAATTAATGAGGGAAGGGGGAGTATTAAATACGGAGTAGAAAATAAGAGGGATTAATGAAACTATTTACAATCGCAACATATGAAAAAAACAAAAATAAGACTAATGACCAAGAATGAATTTCAATTAGGGACTGGGGCGGGGGGCGGGGGGTACTAAACAGAAAATATAAGAGGGACTAATGAAGTTATCTACTATAACAATATATGAAAAAAGAACAAAAATAAGACTAAGGACCAAGGATAAAATTCAAGTATAATTCAAAATTTCAAATGTAGGTGTGTTTCTATTATTGCTATTACAATATTTAGGTTGCATTCCATTTGCCTAATCTGATCTGATCTTTTGAAATTCTGATCTGATTGGATCTCATCTGATATGAATTTGATTAAAATTAAAATTAAAATGTTTATTATAATAGTTATAATAATAAAAAAAATAAATATTAATAATAATAGTAATAATAATAATACTAATAGTAGTAATAATAATAATTGTAATAAGAAGAGTAATAATAATAATAAACTATAAAAATAATAATAGTAATAATAATAATAGTAATAATTAAAAGTAATAATAATAATAACTATAATAATAATAATAATAGTAATAATAATATTAGTAACAATGATAATAATAATAATAGTAATCATAATAATAATAGGAATAATAAAATTTGTAGTAATAATAATAATAGTAATAATTACAATAACAATAGTAATAATAAAAATACTCATAATAATAATAGTAATAGTAATAGTAGTAGTAATAATAATAATAGTAATAATAATAATAATACTAATAACAATGGAAACAATAATAATAATAATAATAAAAGTAATAATAGTAATAATAATAATAATAGTAAGAGTAATAATAACAATAGTAATAATAAATATTATAATAATAGTAATAATAATAGTAATAATAATAATAGTAGCAATAATAATATTATTAATATTAATAGTAATAATAATAATAATAATAATAACAATAGGAATAATAATTATAATCATAATATTAATAGTAATAGAAATAATAATAATAATAATATTATTATTATTATTATTACTCCCTCCGTCCGGAATTAAACTTCCCAGTTTGACTTTTCCTTATTTTTAGTGGAAGTTGACTATATGTCTAATTTGTCCAAAATGTCCCTTGCCTTCATGTCCCACGCCATAGTCCAGCAACCCGCCACGGCGCCACCCCTTGCTCCGCCGACCTTTGACAGCTCCCACCACCGTCCACCACCACTTGCCCCACCTTCGCCTATGCCCTATTGCCGCCACCGTCAGCCCCTCATTCGCCGTCATCTCCGTCACCCCTGTCCCAAAATCTTAGATCTAAAAAAAGTGAAACAAGAAAGGAGAAGAAATATCTCAACTTTACCGTCGCCATGTCTGAGAATAAAAGAAAANATCAAGAGAAAGAAGAAGATGATGAAAAAGAAGAAGAAAGTCAAGGAGTAGATCCAATCGGGAGAAGAAGGACGAGAAATGTGAGAGAGAGAGAGAGGATGAAGAAGACTTACGATGAAGAGGAAGGATGAAGATTGGGAGAAATGGGAGAAGTACGGAGTACTGGAGTAGATAAGAAGAAAAAAGGAGTGGTTGAGAGAGAGAGTAAGTGAGAGGTTGGCGAGTAAAATGAGGGGTATTTTTGGAAGAGTGTTGATAAAAACGTAGAGTGGGAAGATTATTTCCGGACGGAAAAAAACGTAGAGTGGGAAGATTATTTCCGGACGGAGGGAGTATTAGTTTTGTTTAGATCTGGTCTGATGTGATATGATTGGATTTGATCCGATCTATCTTGATTTTAATAAGAATAAATAATTAGCAGAAAAAATAAGTTGAACGAAACGCTACCTTACAGTCTCAAGAACTTGATGTATCACTTCAATTGCATATTCTAGTGCCACTCATATAGTGAGGATTTGCACAAGAAATTCCTTACAAGATGATACCATAGCCACGCAAAAGAAAAATAGCTCTCAAAAGGTGGAAGGCACCCTTAATGGCGACTGCCATTTATTTTCTCTTTCTATTTCCAAATTTGAACTATGTCCTTCGTGGAGGAAAAGGTGAATAAAGTTAGAAAGGGTTCAAAATTTTTTAGGGTCCGTTTGGTATACGGAATTGGTGGAATTGGAATTGAATTGGAATTGGGATTCCATGAGATTCAATTCTATATAATTGAATTCACCAATTTCAATTCATTTGTTGCACTATCAATTCCAAATCCACATAATATTTGTGTTACCAAACACGAGAATTGGAATTGAAGTCCTCAATTCCAATTCCATAAATTGAATTCCTTGTACCAAACGGGGCCTTAGAATATTAATACTGAGAAATTCAAGCAACGGAAGAACGGTCTTGCATCCAAGTAGCATCCAAGTAGCGGTTTGCAGGAAAATTCGTGTCCCAAATTTCAAATGAATTTGATGCCCTGAGCAATTATATTAAGTATATAGAAAAATAAACAATAATGTTAATGTCCCTTGAGCTCAATAGGCACTCGACTAAAGTAGGAATAGATGTTATATGCACACAATGGTAAGGCCTAGTTTGACAGTATTTTGCTATTAGCCATTGAAGACGAAGAAAACCGCAGAAATTACTTTGTGCGCATATGATGGTATCCCTAAGTTGAGTTTGAATACGGGTTAGGATATGTTGTTCAAACAGACAGAAATATGAAGGTAGCCATTGCACAGGACACCTCAAGCTTTATACCCTTTTTAGTAAATTTGACTGCTTCGCACTTCAGTTGGAAAACAAGAAAACCATTCATTCACAATATGAAATCAATGTGAATCGACATAGAAATGTTTGGCAAGTCACACAAAGTATATTCAATCACAATATAGAAAGCAGTACTTGAGAATGTAATACGCAAAAGTAATTACTAATAAATGAAGATAATGAAACAACATATAGCAGGGAAATGAGGCATCTTTAGTTCTTACTCGATCCTTTGGACGCCATTTGGAAACCAGACCCCTTTCCAATTGTCCAGAAGGCACGCATTCTTCAAAGCCATCGTGCCGAAGCTCGCAGAACACTATAGTCTGTGGCAGATATGCCATACTGGTTGTCTTCGTCATCGAAGTGGAGGCATTGCCAGCACTGCCCCCATAACTACTGTGAGCAGCCTCCAAAAAGTCCCTAATTCTATTCTGGTTGCTACTCCCGGTCTCCCTGTCCTCTTGATCGGTATAGTCCTCCAAGTGGCTCGAAGCAACTGTGGCAGACGACTGCGAGGACCTGGATGCCATCAAATCCCCCAATGCCATTCACAATCGAGCCAACAAATCCTACCGCCCCCCTGACAACTCCAACTCAGCAATTAGCCCTGCCCTAATTGAACAAATTTCGGACTGCAGCTCATAACCCTAACCAGAAGCCTCGCCCGCTAGGTCCAGAATAATACAGAAAGGAAGAGAGAAATGCGACTACTCTCTCATGGCTGCCAGTAAATAGATGGATAGGTTTGTTACTTTTGCCACAAATCATGGGCGCAGATGTATACATCGCGTGACCTTTGCCGGTAGACTGCGTTCTTCTTATGACGCCCACCGCAGCACCAGTGGTGTAAACAGGCAGGGCAGGGCAGGGCAGGCAATTATACGGAGTAATAGTCATTGAGTACGGAGTTTATTCCACCTCCGAACGACGACGATTTTGATGCAATACTTTTGGGTGAGTCTGGAGACAATTTAGTACTCCTCCTACCTCACTTGCAAAGTGTTTATCCTTACAAGAAGCATAATTTCAAATTTTTTTAGGTAATATTTGGCTAGCGTTTTATTTCGATTCATGTATTTCAATTCTAAAATTTGAAATCTTGAATTTCAAATGATAAGGGGTGGTGTATTGATTGCAAATTAAGCTTTGTTATGAATGAGAAGAATTTGACTCAAATCCAAATTCAAATTTTTTAAGTTTCCTAAATATAGAATTTGAGCCAAATCCATGTTCCCAAAACATACCATTAATTAATTTAGTTTAAAGATTTGTAGGAAATATTAAATAACATTTAAAGATTTTTAATCAATAAAAATGCATAAATAAACAAAAATTTTTATTTTTTTTAAATAGTGAAGAGTGTAATTTTTTCGTGACATAGAAGTGATATTTTAGTAGCGTAGGGACGACTCAAGCTGGATGGGAGATAGGGGAAGTTAGACAAAGTTCATGGACATGTGACGAGGGACGATGGATGGAGATAGGGGGAGAGAGTGAGATGGTAGCGAAGGTGAAGAGGGTTTAGTGGGTGTGGAAAAGAGCGAGGATAAGAGGGTGAGGAGTGGGGGTGGCATGGTGGGGATGGATGGGGAATGAGGATGATAGTGCATATGGGGCCGAGGTAAGGAGGTAGGTGGTGGTAGGAGGTGGGGGCGATATTGGGTGCGGTCGGAACGAAAGTGGTTTGGAGGTGGTCTGCCTGGGGAAGAAGGGTGTGCGTCCAGCAAAAGATGAAAATTTTCTCCCAAACACAAGAAAATAAAATCAAATTTTTTCTCAAAAATATTTTCCCTCACCAAACACGTACACTTTAGGTTTTGATTAAAAATAAAATTTCGTTTAACATGACAGAAAAATTGTTCACATGTTTTAATTGAGATTGTTTTTAATTTAATTATGAGTGTAACTTTCAAAGATAAAATTTATATATTTATTAACTATATGAAAATTTTATAAAACAAGAAATGACATGAATATATTATATTATGAAACTAATCTGTCACTAGTGTGATGCATGGGAATATATTACAGATCGGAGTAGTTTTCTAATTGGAGATGACCACAATAAATTTAAACTAAAAATAATTAACCTTAATACTCTCATATTAGGTTGATTACTCTCAAGTTTATCTTACACACCAATACTTCAAGAAATCACTACTGGATTTTACATCGATACTCTTATTTGGTTGAGCTAGTCAACTTCGAGCTTATTAATTATTGCGTGAAATTGTTTGTGAAATAAGATATCTAAAAAAATTGATTGGCAACGCATCTAAAGTAATGAAATTAAATTTGATGCTATTTAGACTTTTTAAATTACTCCCTCGAGTATTCGTCCAGCTTTGACTTTTGGAACTGTTCATCTAAGCACTTTGACTCATCAAATTCTCTCAATGTGTAAGCCTAAATATGGTCATGTGTGATCTTGTTTGATTTGTCTTAACATATAGATTATTAGTATATAATTTCTATATTTTTTTAATATACAAATTACAAGATAAAATGGATTAGAGAAGTGTATTGGATGGTGTGTAGAAATGAAAGTGGACAAATACTCTGGGACAGATCGGAGGTAGTACTTAATAAATTCGAAATAATGTCCAATTTAATTCAATTATTTTGTTAAGTTGGAGTAGATTGACCTGATTTGTTGAAATAAGAAATAAATTTGGTCTACTAAAAATTAAGCTAAACATCGATGCTCTAGAGTGAATATTGTTGTTCTGAAGGTTGAGTTATAATAAAAAGAAAGATTGGTCTTGAATGCACCACAAGAGTCATATGGAAACATCAATGTTCAAGGGTAAACAACGATGTTCTAAAAATCTCTTTTTTAAACATATTATCGAATTTTGGTTGACTTTCCAATTTTGACTCTGATGTGATGGGAAAAGTAAGATGTGATAGTTTGGTTATTAGTGAAAAAGTATGATGTGATAGGTAGGGTATGAAAAAGTAGGGGTAAAAGTGATTTTTTAATAGGAAGTGGAAGTGTTTTGTGGAAAGCAAAAAAAAAACAAAAGAGGAAGGGTTTTGTAGAACGGAGGGAGTATCAATTTTATAAATAGAGTTCCGTATGTGTTACAATAGGGATAGTATCCTTCGTGGTAGAGCCGCCATAGATTCTAGTTGTAGGTTAAAAGGTACTCTAATATAAAAAGAGGAGTAATCTTAAAGTCACAAACAATTTGGATACAAAATATACAAGCTTGTTATTATATTTATGCATTTTTCTCAAATGAACGAAATGTTTTTAAGTAATTTAAAAATAAAAATTCAAATATAAAAATAATAAAATTGTGAAATTTATGTCCAAATTGCTTGAGACTAACATTCCCTTGAGAAGAATGTGGAAATTTGTAATTAGGGTTCAAATAGTCTAGATTTGCGGCCAGGGGTTGTTTTAGACATTAAATAATCAGTCCATCTTAGGCTTTGGACAATAGTAGCTAGTGTGCTGAAACGCGTTAGCTGTCTTTTTACGGACAAACGTAGATGATGTGATCTCGAGGCTCCTGTAATAAGTTCTTTTTTCTTTCTAAGTTGGACCATCACTTTTTCACTTACCTTTCGTCGTCCCAAAAAAAACAAAGATTTCCGCTTCTAAAACTCTCTTACTCCCTATTACTACCTCCGTCCCGAAGTATTCGTACAGTTTTGACTTTTGGAATTGTTTATCTAAACACTTTGACTCATCAAATTTACTCAATGTGTAAGCCTAAATATAGTCATGTATGATCTTGTTTGATTTGTCTTAACATATACTTCCTCCGTCCCATAAAGTGTGACCCATTTTTACTAAAGTTAAAATTAAGGAATGGATAAATTTGTGTTAACTTTCCAAAAATACCCTTGATGTGATGAGTAAAAGTAAGATGTAATGTGTAGATTATTAGGAAAAATGTATGATGTGATAGGTAGGGTTTGAAAAAGTAAGGGGTAAAAGTGGTTTTTTTAATAGAAATGAGTAAGAGATTGTGAGACACAATTTTTTTGAAATGTGTAAATCTTTTTGGGACGGAGGGAGTAGATTATTAATATATAATTTCTATAATTTTTTAATATACAAATTACAAGATAAAATGGATTAAAGAAGTGTATTGGATTGTGTGTAAAAATGAAAGTAGACAAATAATCTGGGACGGAGGTAGTAGTAACTACTAGCACGCACGTACGGTGTGGAATTCTTATATAGTTATATACGAGTATGTGTATATAAAAGAATTCCACTCTTGGATTATAATTTGGTGGTAAAAAAAAATATTTTCGAAAAATATGATGATTCTGATCTCAACGTTTGATAATATAAGACCAAGAAAATCTTTTTTGAAGAAAAAATTTTCTCCTCAAAGAGAGAAATGACTATGGACGGACGTTCATTATATTTATCTACTCGCTCATCAGATCCCACGATTTACCCTAAAAATAGAGCTCTACAAATGGAATATGGTATCGATCATGCAAAAGAGAGAATTGGGTTGTCTAAATTATTACGTCCCTTGATGTTCTTTCCTTTTTTAACTTTTAAGAGAATTAAAAGATGGATAATTTTGTATTGACTTTTCAAAAATATCATTAATGTGATGACTAAAAATAGGACGTGACAGGTAGAATGCCTAAAGTAGGATGTGATGAGTAGATTATTATTAAAAAGGTATAATATGATAGATATGATAAGAATTAGTAATGGTAAAAGTAGTTTTTTAATAGAAATGAGAAGGATTTTCTGGGACAAAGAAAAAGAGAGAAGGAGTTTAAGGGACGGAGGAAGTATTTTCTTTGTCCCATGAAATTATTGTTCATATTTTGATTTTTAGAAAATTTAAGAGAGATATATTTTGTGTTTAATTTTTAAAGTATCGTTGATGTGATAGGTAAATGTTGGATGTGATGCCTAGATTATTAGTTAAATGATATAATTTGATATACTTCCTCCGTTACTAAAAACATTTCCTCTTTCATTTTTTTCACTTCCAACAAAATACGTCCACTTTCTATAAAAAAATCACTATCATCCTTATTTTTTCATACCCTACATATCACATCATAATATAATTTTTCTCTAATAATCTATCCATCACATCTTATTTTTATCCATCACATCAAAGACAAAATTGGAAGTCAACTACAATTTAACACTTCCTTATTTTTACACTTGGTCAAAATTGGAACTCTTTTTGAGAACGGAGGGAGTATAAGATATGAATATATAGAAGTAATAATGCTTTTCAATAGAAAAAAGAAAGACTTTGTGAAACGCAAAAAACGTAGAAAGAAAGAATTTTTGCCTTTTTTTGGATGGATGAAATATTTGATTTGCCTCAAATATAAAAAATTCCTTTTCAAACAAATAATGGAAAAAGATTTTTTAGAAAGACAAATAAATCCTACCAAACAATAAAAAGTAAGGGAAAGAAATAAATAAAAATCATTTTCCCTAGAAAAGATTCTTTAAACACATTTTTGGGGAAAAAACTAAAGTATGAGTAAAACATTAAAAATATATCCAAATAAGACTTTCATGTTTTTATTCTTTAAATAGGATCGGAATTAAAATACATTTACATTACCAAAAAGTATAGTAATGTGCACATGTACAATGTTACATTACAACCACATTACCACAGTGCAAAGTCCTATTTCGGGAATAAAAACATGGAACTCCTATTTTGGTACTTATTTTTATGTTTTAGTATTATTTAGGGTGATTTCTACATATTTTTCCCAAACTAAATTCCACTTTCGTCTCTGAATATTTGTCTAGTATAGATATTTTGCAGTTAATGATTTTTAATCTTTGACCTCGATTTAAATAATAATCATGTGGTATATTAATTAAATAAAAAATATTTTATAAAGTAAGTCTAATACAATTATTTTGTATAAATATCTATTATCAATTTTAGATATTTACAATCAAAATTTATCGATTAAATTATAAAAAGTTAAAACTTGACTCCGTATATATCATGTCACTCCCGAGAA